CACCCAACCAGGGTGTTTGCTTATGCAATGATTAGGCAGGCTCTGCCTCATTTTCCTGATGTACAAGGTATCCCCATCGCACAGGCAGGGAAGGCAATATTAAAAGCCCCCGATCTGATGCCTCCCTTCAGGTCAGTCAGCATACACGTCCTGCATCCCTACTGTGTGCCTACCATGGGGCCAAGGACCTATCTGTTGGCTTATCAGAGTCAACACACGCTTTCTTGCCCTTCAGTTTCACTGGAGTCAAGACTGTGCTTACATGGCTGAGTGCTTTTAAGTATGTGAAGAATCTACAAAGGAGATGGTGGCAGGCACAAAGCAGCATCGTGTTGTGGAAGAGCAGAGTTGGAAGCCAGGACGCTTCTGGTCCCACTCTTAGCTGTTTAGCCTCGACCTTGATGTTGGTGAGGCAGCTGCACCCGTCTAGCCCTCAGTTTCTGCATCCGTAAATGGACTTGGAGGAGCTGACCTCCTTTTCCAATATCAAATGCCATGAAACAGTGCCTGAGAGACGACGGCTGACTAAGGTTGTTCAGTGGTGGGATGACACTCAGAGACGGCCAGGAGACCCAGGTACACCCCAGTCCTGCTCTGCTCAGCTCCTCGTGACTCTCAGGAGTGACCAGAGGACAACATATGGTGTCCATGTCACAGGACGTTAGCAGGAAAGGTTGTGCAGTAAAACCTTGCTTCCTTGCAGTGGAATTTCAAATTGAATTTTTTTAAAAAGCTCCTTTTTCTAAATAAAATCTTATGAAACGTTAAAAGTTGAGAGCTCTGATTTAAAGTGGGTTTAAGGGAAGAGGACCTGGCCTGCTTGTTCTGTCACCACCCTCTCCAACTCCCACATATTCATTCTCAATTGCTGTGTCACAAATTACCCACAACTTTGTGCATGCTTGGTCCAATCCTAGATCTCACGTCAAGGATGGAACCACGGTGGGTGATGTCAGGAAAGGCCTTCTGTGTACTCTCTGTTAGTCTGGTCTCCCAGCTCCGCGGGTGAAACCTTGACAGACACACTCCTGTTCCCTAGCAATCCGCTAGTTCTCTGAGCTGCCCCTCCCGCCCTTGTAAGGCTGTTTGAATGAACTACTGAGTAGATGCAAAGGAAAATTTGTAAAAAAAAAATATATAATGATACAACCAGTGCACAAGTCCACCACTCAGGTTGAGAAAGAAACCTTTAGGTCCCAGGGCCCCCTTCCTGACTCCCTCCTCCGCTCTGTCCCTTCATATGTAACCACCAGCTCAAACTCCACATTCTTCATTTTGAATTTTCATTCTCATTTCTTCCTTATGATTTCACCCCAAGTGTATCTCTAAACACATATATATATTGCTATTTTGCCTGTTTATGCATACAAGAGAATCACACCACACACATTCCTTTGCGACTTTTTCACTCAACACTGTTTCTTAGTCCGATCCATCCCGTTATGTGTCTTTTGCTCCTATAGTCTTCAGTTACATGAACACACAATTCACGGGTCCATTCTTGTCCCGATGGATACTTGGGTCGTTTCCAGGTTTTGTTTGTCGCATTACTACCAGTGCCACGGACATTCCCGTACATGTCATTTGGTGCACAGATGCACATTTGTGCTGGGTGTGTATCTAAGAATGGAAGAGCCAGGCCACAGCATGCGTTTAAGTTTACTGGGTGATATCAAATTGTTTTCCAAAGTGATTGTACGAATTTACACTCTTGCCAGCAATAAGTAAGTGTTCCATTTGCTCCACATCTTCACCAACATTTGATACTGTCAGACACTTAATATTTGCAATGTAGCAGGTATCGAACGGTACCTCACAGCAGCTCACCTTGCATTTCTCCTCCTTGGTGAGGTTGACCATTTTTGTTTATGTCCTTTCTATTTTCATCAACATTTGAACCAAAGGCTCCTGACATAAGAGGAGGAGATTAACAGGCTCCCTAAGTGCCCATCTCTGATAGGTCCTGATCCAAGTGGTGAGGCTCTCCTGCCAATCCACTGACAGGAACCCTTAAATGCCTCTGTATGCACTTGTAGGCCTTGTGCTAGAAGCTGCGGGGCACACCCAGGTGAAGAATACTAATTATCTAGAGGTGGAGACAGACACATTTACCAGTCTCCATGTAGAGAAATTCAAAGCGCTCTAAAGAAAATAGACTACCATGGAGTGTAGGCAGAGAGAATCCTGGTTGGAGGGAATCAAGAGCAGAGAGGTTAGGAGTAGAGTGTATTTAGGGCAGAGAGTAGGTGTGGCCAGAATGGGCAAGTGAAAACAGAGCTCAGAGGTGCAGGTGACAGGCCCAGTGGTTGGCAGGGGACTATGGGCCTATTTAGAGGCCTTTGGAATCACCCAAGGGCTTGGAACAAGAGAAGTTTGAGCATAAAATCTTGGCTAGAGTGTAGAAATAAATTGGCAGTGGAAAGATCAGTTACGAAGAGTACTAAAACACTCAGACAAGGTATTTATTAATTGTTCCAACAACAGTGCTCGATGCCATGTGAAAAATGCTGAGTCCCAGGAATGGACTCGGCAGCCCCGAGCGCTCCCACTTGCCAGCACCGAGTGGGAGGCAGTGTGGCAAGGTGGCTAAGAGGCTGGGCCTTTGAAGACAGAGACCTAAGCTCTGGGTTCAGAACTTGCTACACCGCTAATTAACTGTGTAATCCTGAGCAAGGAAGCCTAATTACAGCCTGTTTCTCCACCTATGAATGCGCACAGGAACACTTCCTGATGGGTCGTCAGAAGGATGAAGGCAGCCAGTGAGCGTCGAGTCAGTGCCTGGCACGTGCCGCAGTAAACCCACACGTGGCTATTACTGTTAGCACTCTGCAATTACTCAGGACGGAATGGAAACGTATTTGGCGAAAGTTTTTGGTAAGGATTAACACAAAATAGGAGTTTCTGCTTAACAACTTTTGCATAAGGAAATTAAGTGCGTGTGAGCCAACAGTATGAGCATGACCATCAACATTACTGTAACTATGTACTGAACACCTGCCACGTGCCTGATACAGCCAGGCGCTGGGAACGGTGATGACTGGTCTATCCACACCCAGACCGCTCGGCCCACAGAGGCTGGAAGGATTACACACCCTCCGAGTGCTGCGTGGGGAAATGCAGGAATGCAGCCACGGGGTTACAAAGAGCTGGGGCCCAGAGTGAGCTTGACTAGAGTGGGGTGGTTTTGTCACTTTAAAGACCATGACTGACAAGTCAAATTAGGAGAAGCTGACCAATGGAATTTAAAAAGTCAACATCACTAAAATGTAAACCTCAGCAGATCCCGGCCAGGCCTGAGCGCATGGCTCATTGAAGCTCACAGCAGCTAGTCCTAACTGCACACAGGCCCTGCAGCCTCTGGGGCACTCGCGCGAAGGACCCCAAGGCCGCCGTGCAGGAAGAGGGCACACAGGGTGGACAGTAATACCTTTTAATGTTTCACATTAGAGGTTTTTTCCAGAAGATTTATAACAAAAACATAGAATTTAGTATGAGTTTCGATACACTGGGCAATTACAGAACCTAAACAGGACAACTCCATCAAGTACAATCCTTCCTGTGGGGGCAGAACCTCCATCCCACCAAGAGAGAATCACAACATGATTGGGCATGACCATCTCAGACCGCCTATTCCTCCAATTTCAGAGATTGGCAGACTTGGAGAAAAAACACATTAAAAAAATAAATAAAACTGAACACGGTCGACTGCCTCAGCTCCCCTCTCCGTTCTCCTTTTCCCATTTTCTTCACACAACCAGATGGGACGAGGGCGTGAGGCGGAGGGAGCCCTGTGGCTCAGGGCTGGGTGCTCTGCTGACTAAATGCCAGCAGACGTGTGAGCTCCGAGGCGGCCAAGAAATGGACTCGGAATCAACCACTCAGTGCAGGTGTCGTAGCTGAGGAATACGAGCGGAGAGAGGGGAGGGAAAGGGAGCCAGAGAACTGCCGGTGGGAGGCCCAGGTGCACACACACATTTCAAATCCAACTTCTATAATGAGAAGACGGCCTAAATACAATCCTTAGTCAGTACACTTACACAGAAATACATAACTGCGGAGTTAACACCTCTTTGTAATAATACAAGTTGGAATGCTAACGGAGGGTAAACAGTTCTGCAGAATTCTACGGGGCACAGTCCTTCATTCAACAGAAAAAGTCAAAATCATTCGGCTTCTACAAGAAAATCCTTCACATCCACCTGTGTTCAAAAATAATAATAACTTATGATATTAACAGCTTCCTTAAAAAGACAATTACTACAAAAGAGTTAAATCATAAGTATGGAAAGACCTATTTTCCTATGAATGCAGTTCTTAGGAAGGGAGAGAGATATAACACATGTGAAAAATAAAGCCGTGATGGGTGTGTTTTTAGCTTAAAGCTAAAGCTATCAAAAAAAGAGTTTTAAACAAGTTGAGTGTTTTGCATTACAAAGGATCTCAGCTTACTGAGACCGGCACACAATGAACTAAATAAAGACCCTGACTGTTTTTCTCCATTTAAGGTGTACATCTGCCTCCAGGACAAATAATGGTGGAAACCACACCATCCTGCCAGGTTCCAGAGAGTGGACTATTACTTCAAAGAGGCTGGCCGAGTAGTCATTTCCTTTCCTAAAGAGAACTAAAAATCATCAGTGATGTAGCACATGGGGACAAATTTGGCTAGAGTGAACCATACATTTCTTTGCTTTGGACAGAGAACTCACTAGGTGAGACGCTAGGTGAGAACTCACTAGCTCGGTGAAGCAGAACAGCACACTTGATCCTAGGGCAGTTCTCCTTCGTGGGACAAGCCCACGTGGCCTCCAAGGAAGCCAAATCGCGCCTTTCGAGCAACTAGGCACCTTATTTGCAGACTCTAGCCATGACTTGCTTTTGGACAAAAATTGACTACTAACATTTTTCATCTCTGGTATCATTAACACCTTAGAGAGATAAGAAAAAAATAATCAACATTAGAAAGCTTGACAATGAGACTAAGAAGACCCACAAAGGGGAGGTCATGCTAAAACTGCTTCGACAGCTGTTCCATCACCGCCCACCGCATGGGCTTTGAGGCCAGTGACTTCATGGACGCATCCCTTCGATGCACTGCCGAGTGCCAGGTTAGAGTCGTCACGGTGACCCCAGTGTGATGCTGCCTGCCTTGCATTCACCACCTCCTACCCATGAGATCCAAGGAGGCCCTGGCTGGTGTGAGCACAGATCATGCAGATGCCAAAGCCCAAGAAGCTTCTTGAAAACTTCGCCTTGGATTTGGGCAAGGAAACATCAGTGGTGTGGAGTCCTGGCGACAGCATCCACACTGGGGCTTAACCTCAGCAGCCAGTCTGGAGGATGTTTCCCCCTGAGCGCTTGGTCACCGACAGTGTTGTGAATATCTGTGGGGAAGAGGAAGCAAGAGATTTTCAGACACCTGAGCAAACGAGTTAACAGTGGGCAGTTCAGATAACACCATAAGTATTAAGAATGACTTAGGTGACTACTTACAATGAATCAAACAGAGAAGTAATATGAGCAAGGATATCCTCAATTTCTCCAGAGGATAAAAGGGGAAAAACATTTTAAAACCAAGGTGAGAGAGAAGAAAATTTAGGTAATATCTAATGAAGAACTTTATTAGCATGAGGGTAATTAAAACAATTCAATCGGTTACCCACGTTGCCAAATCTCTACAAGAAATGCATCATGAACTATTTTGGATACGCAGGAAGGTATAAAGTACAGTATTACCAACACCACGTGCCCACCCAGCTCAGGGAGCTTTATGAGTACGGTTAGAGCCCCACGTGTGCCCCTCCCTGATCACCTTCTTCCTCCCTGTCCCCAACTGGTGCTTACCATTCCCATGCATTTCTTCCTGCATTTCTTTTGTAGGTTTTTAGAAACTTTACATGTAAATGGTTATGTACTCTTCTGCTACTTGCTTTCTTGGCTCAAATACTCTATTTCTGTAATTCACCCATTTATGGATACCAATAGCTCTAATTCTTCCACTTTTCACTGAGCAGTATTCAATTAGTATAGTATATTATACCATATATAGTATCCATACTACATACTATAGTATTTATTACGCAAATAGTGACTATATTATGAATTACATATCCAGGCTCCTTTTGCAGGCGATCCAAGCTATTGCTAATATGCCATTTGCAATATGCTCTGTGACATGCCAATACGTCTCCTCACACCCAGAGCTAGAGGTACAATTGCTGGGTTGGAGGGTCGGCTGGATTTCTAAGGTGCCCAACCAGCCGACACTGCCATGTGCAGTGACTGACAAGGTCTCCTTATTTCACATCCTCGCAAACACTCGGTGCTTGTGGACTTGGAGCCTTATCATCTTCAGGCAGCTTTGACTTGCTACCACTGAAGACTGCCTCTACAAAAAACAATGGTTCTTGAACTTTACAGTCCGTTCACATTGATTAAAATACCTGGAAACTACACTGATTCTGATTTGGCAGATCTAGGGTAGGGCCAAGGAATCTCATTTTTAGCAGAAGTCCCAAGTGATTCTAACGCAGGCTGTCCAAAGACCATGTATTAAAATTTCTTATGCAAAGCAACACCAGAGTAGACACCGCACTGTGAATTTCTGGCAAAATCCCTAGCCTGGAAGTCTACAGCGTGGGAAAGCTCTGTAGTCTCAGCAAGCCGGAAGCCTGCAGCTCTCCTGCAGTCCATCAGTAACTCTCTCATCCAGAGGGCCCCTTGCCTGCTCACTTTACACTGCCTTGCTGGAGAATTTCTCACTGTGCATCTCACCTACCTTTTAATTCATTCCTCCTCCTGTTTCCTTGAGGGTGCTCTTTCCGGTCTCCTTTTGTGGCCATTCCTCAGCCATGGCATAGAGGGGTGCTGAAGCACCGATGTCCCCAGTCCCTGGGGTGGCCACAGCCCCTGGGCTGGCTGTAGAACCAGCTGCCTGATCTATGTACTCCAATGTGCTGCAGCAATCTCGCCCTTTCCACATGGGGATGACACGAACAAGGCCAGGAAGCAGTGCCCAGGGTTGCACTCTCAGCTCTCCCTCTGGATACTCTCCTATCACAGAGTCTCATTCAGTCAACTGCCCCCGTTCAGGCAGGTGAATGCGCAACCTCTCCAGCCAATGTGTCTCTCCTTACCATCAAGAAGGCCTAGCACACACCCCTTCTTGGATGACACTTCAAACTTAACACGTCCAGGACTGAAGCCTTTATCTTCCTGAAGCCAGTTCTCTCAGTGAATGGCATCGCCACTACTTGCTTGCCCAGGCAACCAAGAATTAATCCTTAATTCTTCTATCTCCATTACTGCTGATATGTAATCAATTACTAAGTCTTATATATTTTGCTTCTTTTCTGTCAAATCTGATGTTTCTTTTTATTAACACTGACACCAGGTTCAGGTCTTTCTAATTCTGACTGAACTATTCTAAGATTCTTGTTAGTATCCAAAACACAGAGTGCCTTCACCTCCCTGTGATGACCTTCCATATGGTCCACACATTACACACTGCTGCCCTACTGGACATGGACGTGAGGGCCAGGGGCTGCTCTAACCAAGGACACGTGTGGCACTGTGCTGCATCACTGCTGAACAGAAGCCCTGGGCACCAAGGCGTGCTTTCCAACATCTCCTTCCCTCTGCCACCTAGCTAGCAGTGCCCAGGGAGAGGCTGCCCCGTCAGCCTCGTCCTGGAGCGAAGATGATATAGAAAGCCGAGCAGCAGCTGATCCACGATGAGCACAGAGCACCAGCAAGGAAGAAAACTTTGTTTCTACAGGCAAAAAACCAAAACCAACACCCAAACTGTTCATCTGTGTTGCTGAGACATGCAAACATCCAAGGGCTTTGTGTTCAATCAATTAAATTTAGAAACAAATTTGGTTACTGAGTACAATTAAGACTTCTATCCAAACCCTGCTGCTCACACTAGGAAAGCTGTGGGTAAGTGGCAGGATTCCGGAGAATCCATCTGCCCTGCGCTACCCAGGCCGACCTTCTCAAGCCGTCGAGTTGTCTCACTGAGACTGGAAGTCACGGCTTATTAGGGAGAGTCCCCGGCGGAGGCAAGACTCACGCAGCGCCTGTAGCCTGGCTGGCACACGTGGACAAGCTTCTGGGTCAGTCGCCCCTTTGACTCCTGAGAAATAACAGGTTTCCTGATTTTTTAATACATAGAGGAAAGCGCACAAGAAGTCAAGGCCACTTTGATTAACTTACGCGGGTCAAAGACTCAGGAACAGCATCAAAACTACTTTTGAATAAAGGGGAAAGTACTTTTGTGTAAAGAAGGTACATAACTGAGAAAAGCCCTGGGTCCATTTTAGCCTTGAAGAAGCAACCAAGCCTTTTTCCTTGCCATACACCAACATATCATCAGCACCTTAAGAAATTCAGACCCAATAATGGCCAACATCCGAAGACATTATAAATATGAGGCCAGAAGAAAAGATGAACAACTCACATCAAAAAAAAAAAACAGTTATGAGAAAAGAGGTTTATCTTTGTTAGCAAAGATACGTAAAACTCCTTGAAATAGTTATCCCTTTTATACATTACTATAGAAAAAATACATTTACACTGAATTTGCAACATTTTCATTAGCACTCTTAAACTCAATGCTGATGACACTGTAAACTAGTACAATTCTCTTGAAAAGCAATACAATTCCTTTGTTTAAAAAAAAGTGTGACTGTGGATGAGGACAGAAAGACAATATGCGGTAATGAAAATAGCTGTGTTAGGACGATGATGATATGGGCAATTTAAAATACCATCAAAAATGCTCTTTTCAATTTTTATAAAGGAAGAAAAATAAACAGCCAGGGAATACATTAAAACAAATTTCAGGCTTGTGAATTTCAAGCTTAAGCATTATTTCTCAGGAATTAATTTAGAAACAGAACTTGTAGAAGATTTACATTGAAAACTAAACCCATCAAAAATGGAAGCAGATTAAAAAAAAGAGCCCTTATCTATTTTTCTTATACTGATAACATGCTTATGTTAAAGAGTGGGGAAGCGAAACTGCCACTGTTGATTAGTTTAAATGGAAAAACTGATGGGGTCAATTTTTACAAGATTTTATTTGCACACAGCTGCTTTAGAATTTTCATAAAAAATGTATTTTTAAAAAGTGAACATGGAGGCTGCCCCTTCATACTTTTCTATTCTAACACAAAGAACACTTAGAAAAGGTCAAATGCCACTGAGGCGTTCACCACCCAGCCTCACGCACCCTTCACTCTAGACTGTAATCCTGGTGACTATGAAAACAAAACTTCTGACGTTCGGCACTAAAACTCATTTTAAGACATTTCACAGGGGTCTTTTCTAATGCTCCTTCCTCTTGAGCTATTATTTTTCCCCTACAAATAAACGTGATTAGTTGAAATTACTGTTCCAAATTATGTGTAATCAGTTTCCTATTCAATTACTGCCGCTCAGATGTCGGGAATAAATTATCACGTACTACCTTCACACCCAATCACGCTAATGCACGACTGACGCTTCAGGCATTAGGACTCCCTCTCGTATAGACGCAGAAGGCTTTCAGTCAAAACAACAGTAGCCTCTCCTCCTCTTAGAGCAATTCCTCAATGAGGAATTTGTCAACTTTTCTAAGTAACTAGCCTCAGAGCCAAAAGTCACTCAACTGCCCAGATTACTTTATCAAAATGGTAGAGGACTTCATTCACTGATTCATTCTGCAAACAACCCACAGCTGGCCTGGGAGCTGGGGCTAGTTCTCAACACTTTAAAACAGTGCTCAGGACCAGTTTTTAAATTATTATTTCTAATCCATCCAATGGACAGACATTTGTGAAATTCAATAAAAACGTGTTAGGAAAATGAAATTTTAAAAGGCATGTAAAATTAAAACCCCCTTTTTTTAATGATTACATCAGATACTGTCAAATAGCTCTTAAAGTTTCTAAATGTTCCTTCTTCATTTCCATTCTTGTCTCATATGGATTAGACATATTCTGAGGACTGCATATAGAGCGGCACCCCTCGACAGCATATGACTGGACACGAAAAAACAGTGGGTCCAGTAGCAAATCCAAGTTGGATGGGACCCAGCATTTAGCACAAAGGAAAGAGTCTCTAAAAAGCCCCTACTGATCAAATGTCACTTTCCCTTCATCAAGAAGCTTTAAAAAAGATCTCCATAGCCAGGGGTCAGAAGGCTTTGGTTTTTCAAAACCTAGTTTCTAAGCAAGTATTTCATACTCAAGAGTAAAGAAAATTACCAGAGGAGCTTTTTCAAAATATGCGTGCCTTCCCACCACTCACCCACCTTAAAAATGCTGTAATGATGACCTTCGGTCAAGCCACATCTTCTGTAATGAAATACCCTGGGAAAACCCGGCCAACAGACGCAGTTACTGAGTATCTACCAAACGCCAAGAACTCTCCCAGTCACTTTCCACACGGCACTGCCCAGCAGCCCTATGAGTGAGACAGTATCTCTATTTCATTTAACATGTAAACTAAACTCCTAGAAAGCTGGGTGCTGTGGCCAAGTTCACTGAGAATTTGCTGAGTGAGATTACAACCCAGGTCTGTGTGTCTCCACTATGCTCATATTGCCACCAAGAAATCATCTCCATTTTTAAATTTTATGTCAAATATCGTAGGAAGGTATGTGGAAGTGGAGCATCATCTGTACAGTGTGCTGCCTCAGGAGCCAGACTGCCTGGGTTTGAATCCTGCTTCTGTCACTTCCAAGTGAGTAACTGTGGGCAAGTTACTCAACCTCCACGTCCTCAATTTCCTCATGTGTCAAATGGAGATATCCTGCCACCTACCCCGTGGAGTTCTTGCAAGGACCTACTTCCCGGAGAGCAGAGTGCCTGACCCACACAGTAAGCCCTCAGAAACATCAGCACTACTAACTACTGTCAGTGTTATTCCCTCGGACCCGCACACTCTACTGTCGCTTCCTATTGCAGGCTACAAATGTGAACCATTCTTAGTTCTTCCCTCTTCCCATTTCCAATCATTTGGCAAGCACTATCAACTCTATCTGCTACTTCTCTCTCAAATATATCAATGTCTCTTGACACTCACTGCCACTACCCCAGTTCAGGCCACTACCACATCCCCTCTAGCCTCTAGAGGTGGCCTCCGCTGGTCCATTCTCCAGAGTGAAGCCAGAGTGATTCTCTCAACAGTGTATCTGATCACATTATTGCCTGCTTTAAACCTCTTTCGGCTGAATCCCAGTGCCCCCAGAGTCAAGTCAAAACACTCCGCCTTGGTTTACAAGGCCATCACCTTCCCACCTACTCGTCCAGCATAAATTTTTTTTAACCTCTCTCTAAGCTCTTCAACTTACAGCAGCATTGAGGGCCTTTCAGTTCCCTGCATGAACCATGCTCACTCCCACAGAGGCCTTTTATTTGATGTTCCCTCTGACTGGCTCACACCAACACATCTTCTTGTCTTAGGCAAGAAGTCCCTCCTTCACCATCCTGCCCCAATATCCCTGCTCCAAACACCACTTTACATCTGTCCTGTTCCTAGGCCTCCTCACATGGAACTGTAACTGGCACTGCACTCATCGGTCCCCTCGATCTTTTTTTTTTTTTAAAGATTAGCACCTAGGCTAACAACTGTTGACAATCTTTTTTTTTTTTTTCTGCTTTATCTCCCCAAACCTCCCCCCTGTACACAGTTGCATATCTTAGTTGCAGGTCCTTCTAGTTGTGGGATGTGGGACACCACCTCAACGTGGCCTGACGAGCGGTGCCATGTCCACGCCCAGGATCTGAACCCTGGGCCGCCGCAGCGGAGCACACAAACTTAACCACTCGGCCATGGAGCCGGCCCCTGCCTCCTCGATCTTAAGCATGTCTTAAATCCTTGCTGCATCCCTAAGTGCCTAGCGCAGTGCTATATACATAGCTGCACAACAAATGTGTTTATAGAGTGAGACAGCACCCAGTTTCTCATCTCATTAACCAGCTGCCAGCTTGGAAAAAAATTTTTTAAATCCTATCAAAGCAGTGGAACATTCAGCCTCTGAGTTTCAAAGTCATAAGAGAACCAACACACGGAGATGCACAACAGCAAATGCTTAAAAAGGGTTCCCAAATGTGCCAGGCGTACAAGGAAAGGCCTTTGGCTGACCTCCCTACAGGCAGAGGCTTCACCAAGACGTCCTGCCTCTCTTCACCACATCTCTCCATCCAGCTGGCAATGATCCTGCCAGATGCTGCCGTATTCGCCACTGCTGGACCACAACACAACACAACACAACCAGGTGGGGAGGCAGGAGTCAAGCACACGTCAGTCTTTGAATCGGCCCACTGAGAGCTGAACTCAGATAAAAAGAATTAGACACTCTCATCTGCAAGTCGGGAAGTTATCCTTTCATCCATTTCAGAGATGGTTGTTGTAGTTTTTAAGTATCTTGGACTAACATCTAAATTTTAAATATACTTACTGTTGTGGGTTGAATGAAGCTCCCTAGAAAAATACGTTCAAGTCCTAATCTCTGGTGCTTGTGAATGTGACCTTATTTGGAAATAGGGTCATTGCAAATGTCATCAAGTTAAAACGAGGTCATGCTGGACTAGTTGGCCCTAATCCAATGACTGATGGTCCTTCTATTAAGGGGACATCTGGACACAGACACACAGGAGATAAGGGCACGTGCAGACAGAGTCAGAGATGGAGTGATGCATCAACAAGCCAAGGAACACCAGGGATTGCCAGCAACCACCCAAAGCTAGAAGAGGCAAGGAGGGGTTCTTCTCCAGAGCCTTTGGAGGGAGTGTGGTCCTGCTGATACCTTGATTTCAGACTTCCAGCCTCCAGAGCTGTGGGAGAATAACCTTTCATTGTCTTAAGCCCTCCAGTTTGTGCTACTTTGTTACGGCAGCCCTAGGAAACTAATACACTCACTAAAAGTGTTTCTGAAAAAAATGAAGTTAATTGGATCCTTGCCTAGGCAGGATCTTAGTCATTACACTGAATAAAAGACATATCACACATTTTTTAAGAGCTTTAGTTGAGACTCTTTTCAATTTTTATGTTATTTTTTTGAAGCTTAGTTTTATTTCACAAAAACAGTAGTTTTCTAGGAATAATGCCCTAGTCACGAAACATGTTAAGATTTTAGGCTTCCATTCCAGCCAGGTCCATATGCATACAGAGAAGACTACTCCTAATCATAAAAAAGGCATAGCAAAAAAACTAGAACATTCTTCCAGGTCTTAAAGCTGACATTTCACTTACTTAGAAAAGAATTCAGTTGTGCAAGGGCAATCAAGAACAGAGACCAACCAGTTAACAAGCTGTTGAACGAAACTAGCATAAATGTGCAGATGTGTGTATGTGTGTGTGTATGCTCAGCGTACACCCTGGAAACCACTGCCTGTGGCGGCCAGGTAATAGCCACCATTTTCAACTCCCTACTTAAGCCGGTATAGTACGGGATACCTCCTTCCAACCATCACCAGGTTCTCCATCATAGACACATTTTTGGTTTACAATCCCTACTTAGAAGTAAGCATCACAATATTCAACTCTTGGATGATCACTGACAAGTGTGAAGAAACACTGACACCCAGAGGCCCAGAGTGGTCAATTTCCAGTTCTACTGTCATTTGCTTCATCCTTTAAAAGCACCACTTTCAAATCTCATTGATACCAAAAGCTAAAGGGGTAGACAACATCATTTAGCCTTGAGGTGGCTCCAGGAAAACTAGGATTGATGTTCTTTCTGGGTATGAATGGCATTATTAACTGATTGCCATGAAAATAACATAGGAGAGATAAATAAAAGATTTAAGGCTCATCTCTATAAATCACTCACCCTTGTTACCATTTAGTAGCATGACAGCATTATCCAGTTCACACCAGGACAAAAAGTATTTGAAAGAGAAAAAACTGTCTCTAGAGACAAGGCTTCTTTTGAGGTGCTCTCAGTCATTCATAAGCTGTAAGGAGGTACAGAAGTAGCTCGAGTACTGCAGAAAGAACACGAGCTGCAGAGCCATAGATCTGCTCCCTGGGGAGGAGTAGCGAGGAGACAGGCACTTTTAAACAGAGCAGTGGAAGTGCAGGTGACCCACCTCTGCACAGACAGGGTGGATGCCAATGGTGCTGTCCAGCTGCTGTTTGGTCAGTCCACACTTGAGCGCAGCCGCAAAGCCCTGAGTAACTTCTCCAGCATTTGGACCCAGTACGTGGAAGCCCACAACACGTTCCTAAGATATAAAATAAAGTAATATGATTATGCTGATTTTTGGTCCTTAAGACCCTAGAATATTTCCCCAGTCTATTCTAAAACCCCATTCAGAAATGGCCAAAGACTTATATTAATGCTTGCTGCTTGAAGCTGTGAGGCTGAAGGTACTCCAGCATGGGCCAGCCAGTACAGGGTGCGATGGTCACAGCAAGCAAGAAGGAAGGGACAAGAGCCAGCCACGAGTGATGACAAGGAACAACAGTAAAAGCAAAAATGTCTGCAATTCCTTAAGCACCAAAATGTTCTGGAAAGTGCTTTCAAATGGCAGCTGTGTCCTCATCTCCTCTATCTGGTTCCCAAAGCTACAAATAAATTACTGTGATAGCTGTAACATTTAAGAGCAGTCACTCAAATTAAAAAATCATTTTAATTCAGGTTTTGGAGGTAGATAGCACAATTAGACTGAAGACCATTCTAATCTGAAAACATTTTTGAAAGCAATAGGAAAATGTTTGAGAACTCTGAAATACCTGCGTGGGATTATTTTGGATAAATTCTCAATTCCAAACTCACGCTACCTCTGCCAAGATGCACTCACTGCTCAGACTTTCAGAGCCAACCCTGACTGAGCTAGACTGCCCAGTCCGACCTCCTCATCAAGGATGAGGCGACTCGCTGTGGGGTGCAGAGCCTTATCTAAGGTTCCACAGCTCCCTGGAAAACAGGAAAGTCATTCTGTTGCCAAAGTAGTGTAATACTCCATGTGGGAATCTGTTTATTCATCCCGACAATCAGGGGGTTAGTGTATGCATAAATAAAGCACAAAATATACCAGCACTTAAAATATACTAGACTGACATGTAATCCTATGGATAGATCTCAAAAGAACGAGAGTAAAAAGACAATTTGCAGGCTTCTATTCACTGAGAATACCATTCTCAATTAAACTCACACTGTATAATGTCTATGGACACATAATAGGTGGCAAACATACAAAAAACATGAACAGGTGAGACACTCCAACTTCAAGACAGTGTTGCGTCCAGGGTAGGGAAGGAGTGAGGGGTGTGCGATCAGGAAGGAATGCAAAGACTACACAGGCACAGGGCAATGGTTAATAGCATGGAATCTGCATTGCCCGGGACTGAATTCAAGCTCTGCCATTACCTGGGTAAGTGACTTGGGCACAATTACTCAATGTCCATGTGCTTCAGTTTCCTCACTACGAAATCAGAATAATGATAGCACACATCTCATAGGGTTGTATGAGGATTAAAAAGGTTAATACACGTGGACCTCGAAGGAGTGCCCAGCACATACTAAGTGCTCCACAAATGCAGGCTGTTATAAACTGCCTCTGTGACACTTAATCTCTCATACGAGAAAAGCTCTGAAGCAAACACAGCAAAATGTTAACATTCATTGATTCTGCATGGTGGGTATTTCCGTATCTTCCTGTAAACTTAAAATATTTCAAAGAAGAACAGTATACAGAAAGAATAAAAGCTTAACAGATAATAAATACTATAATTCTTACTGAAAACCAAGGACATTTAGACACTGTGCAATGACTGACTAAAGATGAATAAAAGCATGCCCCAAGAATGGTCAAGTCCTAGAAGCATGTTTTTATACAAGACTGCTCATGACAAGAGCAATGACTAGGATTCATCCTCTCTAACACCATCTTTGTCTACGAAAATAGTTGAAAAGAATATCACCCTGCTTATGGCCTCAACTATTTTAATTAAGATGGGGTTACTGGTAGTGAAAATTACTTTTCATATTATTAAGAAATGCCATTTGAAAAAACGACACAGCAATAAAAAAAAGGACCAAAGAACTATATACAGTTAAAATAGATTTGTTTTGGTATGAAGGAAACTTGGTTTCATTGACTGCTACATGCAACGGCAGCATCTCTCGCTACAGGCAGATAACAGACTGTCGATGAGAAGAACATCTGACGTTTTCTCCTTTTGTCTACAGTAGCATGATATCTAATATATACGTATACAAATAAACTTATGATGAAACACGTCTAAAAAGAAAAAAGTCTACATAAAATTGTTCTTTTGTCAACTGTGTATAGCTAGTTATGTGTATAGCTCATTATGGGTTACCCTAGTATATTCATTTTTAAATGCATCTTTGATAAATTTTTGGAGAAGATCCAGGTTTTCCTACAACCCTGGGCTCTGCAAAAAGTAATCTGCAACTGTGCTACCGTCTAGAGCAGTAGTTTCTAAAGAGGATAAATGGCTTAACATATTCAAATTCCAAGATGAGAAAACTATGAGTGTATTAGCCTTTTAACATATGGATTCTTCAGCATCATTTCTATTTCTACTGAGGACATTTTTTTTAAGTTAAGATTCCAGCTAAGATATAAACTCCAGTTCTTACAGGAGTCAATTCACAACACTTAAGAGTATGAGTACAGACATACATGTGTCCTGGGTTACAATATAAAATAGGGACAGCAGTCAGAAAACTCTGAAAACCAATGATTTATTCAATCACTTTATAAGTATGGAAAGAAACCATGAGGTCAAGGAGTTTGCCCAAGGCCTTCAGTTACCAGTTGTTACTTGTAGCAGCAGGCAATAAAACCTTAAATCAGAACCCAATTAAGAGCTCTTCTATTACAGCTTTCTCATTAGTGCCAGCTACTTAGAATGTGAACTTATGCTATTCCCGTTCTTTTTTGTTTTGTCATTATTTTTAGATAGTCGATGACTTCATTGCTTCCCTTTTATAAATACAAACACAAACAATTCTCAAGTTGCCCCTCTGGTTCCTTCACACAGCAAGTTTTCACTCCCTGCCTACTATCTGTAGGGCTCTGTGCCAAGGAAGCTGAGCGGGGATCAAGCAGCGGAGCCATGGGACTTGCCCTAGGATAACGTCCATGCAACTACAGAGACCGACAGGTAGAATACTAAAGGAATGCAACGTGTATCGTGTGATCAAAATGCAGTTACATCTTAAAAACAACATGACATTAGTGGAAAAGATTAAAAGAGAATTTCACTTACGTTGTCTTTGATATTACAGATTATTTTTGCATAACATTTGTTGTTATCTCTTGATGGAATCGTCCATTCCAACGGCCAAAAGTAACTATGGTAAACCTAAGAAGACATAAGCACAATTTAGACTCATTATCTTAAGAAGAACGCTTGTCAAACACTAGGTGTGGTGCAAAGACAGTGGAGGCTCTTGAGTAATTAGACTTCTATTAAACAATAAAATTCATGGAATAAACAGGAAGCTGGTCAGAAGGTAAATGACTTTAAATTCCTTGTTGTCAGGCCCTTTTGCTCATCCCTTACATACAACTCAGCCTCAAAAGAGTAAACCTTAAGTAATAACAACAAAGAACAAGTAAATGAGAGAAAGGAGCCACATAATTACTTGTTGTTTTGCCTTAAAGCACAAAAAGCCCTCAACCTCAGCACTTTCTAGTTACCTTATGGAAATGACAACTTTGGGCAAGAAACAAATAAGATGCCAGGAACAATTACAGCAATTATCTAGTTCTCTTGCTCTTTTGCTTCCAAAGATATTTCCTCCTTTGGCATTACTCACCAAAAGTACTAAAGGAGAGGAGGAGGGAGGGAGGGAAGACGGACAGATGGAGGGACGCACAGACATCCTTACTGATGTTTCATACACTTAAGTCCCGGATGACTGAAGGGCTTTTTTTCTCCTCCAACTGCTAGCCACAATTCAAAACATATATTGGTGGCTACCTTTTAAAAGCACACTAATTATGCAGACATTATAATAAGTGTTCTTTTATGTTGTAAGAGGATGTGATTTTTTAAAAAGATGTGGATCACAAAATGGAATGTATAGCATCACAGTATCACAACAATTATATAGGGAAACGATGATTAAAGAAATTACCCGAAATTACTTACAAAGTCTATGAGTAATTGTTTCCTATTTCCCTTATATTTTTCAAAATTTGTTCAATTCAAATGCATTGCTTTTATAATAAAAAATGCAAACTCTAATAAAACAAAAGCCAAAGATTATCTGTCAAGAAATATGGAATATATAGTAAGAACCTTAAATTTTAAATACCTTGTGATAGGAATCTGTCCTCAGAAAATAGAAAAACAGATAATGAATTATAAAGATGTTCATCATTCTATCTGTAACAGTGAAAAAGTGTAAGCGACATAATATAAGAATGGCTTAACAGGGCCAGCCCTGGTGGACTAGTGGTTAAGATTGGTGTGTTCTGCTTTGGCTGCCCAGGTTCAGTTCCTGGGTGCAGACCTACACCACCCGCCTGTCAGTGGCCATGCTGTGGTGGCAGCTCACATAAAAAAGAGGAGGACTGGCAACAGATGCTACCTCAGGGCAAATCTTCCTCAGCAAAAAGAGGAAGATTGGAAATAGATATTAGCTCAGGGAGAATATTCCTCAGCAAAAGAAAAAAAGAAAAGAAAGAATGGCTTAACAAATTATTGTATAGTATCCCTAAAAAGAAATAGTACACAAGTCATTTTTTAAAATGGTGTTTTTAGGGGGAAATGCTCATAACCTAACATTAATTGTAGACAGAAAACTGCATGTCACTTAAATCACACTTAAAAAAATTAAGACATAGATACCTACACAAAAGGAGACTGGAATATGCCAAAATATTAATAGTAACTATCTCATCATGAACTAAAATTTCCTTTTTTATATTTTCCTAATTTTTCAAACTTTTTATGAGGATAAATTATTTTTATAATCAGAAAAAAATGTTAATAATGTTACTAATAGACCAAGATATTATATGCCACTACTAATGCAAATAATAAAGAAAACAATTAAGAGATTTAAAACAGACTTTTATACTATAAAACTTACTGATTCACAAATCTGGTCTTCTAAAAGTTTTTACTGGAAACTTTTTTCCCAAATGACTTAAAACAGTAGTCTCTTTCTCTTTGTGTAGCATTATTTGTGTATGTACAATAGCATATTTCATGTGCATTTTCTTTGACTATATCATAAAAGATAAGTAGCAAACAGTATAAATAGACGCTAATGGTATGGAAGAAAAAAATAATTTAGAACACTAGAAATGTAATCAATTTTTAGTTTTCTTCTTTTCCTATATTTTCATACTTCTAAAAATATTGTTTTTGATTTTTTTTTTTTGCTTGAGGAAAATTAGCCCTGAGCTAACATCTGTGCCAATTTTTTTTTTTTAAAGATTGGTTCCTAAGCTAACAACTGTTACCAATCTTTATTTTGCTTTTTCTCCCTGAATCCCCCCAGTACATAGCTGTCTATTTTAGTTGTGGGTCCTTCTAGTTGTGGCATGTGGGACACCACCTCAGCATGGCCTGGCGAGTGGTGCCAGGTCCATGCCCAGGATCCAAACCAGCAAAACAATGGGCTGCTGAAGCAGAGAGTGCAAACTTAACCACTCGGCCACAAGGCTGGCCCCTCCACTTTTTTATATGTGGGTCACCACCACAGCATGGCTGACGAGTGGTGTAGGCCCATGCCCAGGATCCAAACCTGCGAACCTGGCCACTGAAGCAGAGTGTGCTGGACTGAACCACTAGGCCATAGGGCCAGCCCCCACAAAATATTGTTTTAATAATAAAAAGAAACCAGTAAAAGTAGTTTTAAAAAGTACAACTAAGTATTATTAGGTCAACTGATGAAACTGAAAAAAAGAAGGTAGATGAGATAAAAATATTCTATCAATATTAAATTTCCTCAGTGATAACTACACTATGATTCAGGAAAAAACCACACACACAGATACAGAGCAAGAGAAAATATGACAAGTACAAAACAAATGAGGAAAATGTTAATATGTTAATCTGGATAATGGGTATACAGAAGTTGCTTGTACTATTTTTCAACTTTTATGTATGGTTGAAATTATTCACTTAAATTTTGAAAAGAAAAACAGCAGTAACTCAACACAGGAGTAAAGAGTAGAACTTACCTCAATATTTTCTTCCCCAAATTTCTCCACAGCATTCTCTTCAGAAAGACCACAAGCACCATATTCCAGAGGAGTAAATACAGTTGTTGGAACATTTTCATAGTCACACTGTTTCACAACGAAGGAAAAGAGTCATGGCAGGAGAATTTATAACTCAAAAGAGGATATACTTCAAAAAGGTTGGAAATTAAGAGGAAAGCACAGTAATAAATTCCTACCAAAAGTATGGGAAGTCACAATCCCAGAGATAAACCTACACTGAGAACCATTAACTGATGCGACAAAGTTTTAGTAGAAGTTTGAAGCGTGTCAAGACTGATCATGAATAAATGAGTCACGTGGTTTCCCCATCCACCTATCAACTGATGTTAACAAGGACACACCTTTTCTCCCTTTAATAAAGCAGCCAAAAGCAATACTAGTGTACCTAACACTGAAAGTCTCATATTATTGGCGACAGAAATTAACAGACTTCTTTGAAAAACCAATTAGGTAATACATATTAAGAGCCATAAAAATAGTTAATGCCTCTTGGCCCAATAGCCCCATCTTTAGAAATCCATAACAGGAATTTAGTGTACAGAAAAAGCTACATGCGTAAACTGAGCATTGCTGCAGCACTCATCAATAGCGGCAACACTGGAGCGGCTTTAAAGTGCCCGTAAGGAAGGGGTTCTATAGTACATACTCCCAATGCGACACTACGCAGCCATGAACACAGCAAAGAAGACCACACACACGAAGGAGCTAATGGTTATGACAGTACTCCCAGAGCATATTTTATAACGTTAACAGGTGTAGATGACTAAAAGGTTCTGAAGTCAAGCAAAGTTGTAAAATGCTGCACTAAGCAAATAAACAGGTTTCTTTACTATCAGATTTCTCAGAGCCTTTAATATGCTGATGTGAACTGTGAAAAATGTCTCATGTAAATACCTAACATGTCTGCAAATGCTATTTGGTAAAAACCTACCAGTTACATTTGCACACAGAAGTGAGCCTAAGTAATATTCTGCATTTAAAATATGAGAAATTCAGTTCTCACTCTAAGACAGGAGGGTGAAATCTTTAAAATGTGCCTTCTTCTAGAAACAATAAATATACTCCTTTTTCTCTAAGAAGAACACAAACCCTTGAAATTCTGACTCCAAAGTAAAGGCAGACATCCACTGACAGCCATACTGGTATGCCAGGAACCAGATTTATCCTCTTGCCTTAAACAACCAGAAAACCAGACACACAGGAAGCAGCACTCTGCGGACAGTGGACAACAGGCAGTGCAGGACTGCGATCCCTGAGAGAAGGACACAAATGAGGCGAGCCCAGTGACTGCCCAGAGCAGCTTCCAGGACTCAGTGCCAGGAGCGGGAACTCAAGCAGAGTGAGGTAGTCTTTCTGACTTATGGAGACACAGACTGTAGTCCAGGGAAGCCAAGGCGGCTCGAAGCTGCAGGGGAGCACACCAAAGAGGGAGGAGCTGCACAAAGAGAACTGAGATCTGCAGAGAGAGCCTCCTGAGATTTGGGCCGAGAAAACGTGTCACGGCAAAGTCCTCAAGGGTGAGGAGAACCAGTGGAAAGCAGTAGGCCCCCAAATGACCAGAGCTCTTCCAAGACCAGAATAGTTCCCCCCCACAGCCAGAGTAGAAAATATTCATAATGCAAGAGGAATGAGGTAGAGTCCTCTCAAGGGCATCGATTTGGTAGTGGAACTAAATTGGTTCTAGATGAAAGGTTGCTGTTGATGGACCCTAAAAAGCTTAAAAGCAAGTTACAAAAGGATAAAACTAAACCCATGTGACTCGATGGGCTGCCAGAACAGAGTCCTACACTGTATAACGGAATTCAACAAAACCCAGGACACAACAACGTAATATACACAAAGTCCTCATCCATAAGAAAGTAACAAGTTCTTGCAAAGGAGCAAGAACATGTGAACTAAAACCAAGAGAAAACTCAATCAATAGGAAGAGACACTGAAAATGAGATGACGGAATGAGAAGAGAACATCAATAGAACTATTATAAACAGGTTCTGTGTATTCAGAAGATAGAGGAAAACAGGAACTTAGGAGAAAAAAAAGAAAATATATTAAAAAAAAAAAACCTTGTAGACATGAAAAAAGTATTTGAAGTGCAAACTACACAGTATGGGATTAACAACCCAAAACAGTGCAGAAGAAAAGATTAGTGAAGTTGAAAACATAGCAATAGGCTAAGAAAATGAAGCACAGAAACATGAACAGAGCATCAGAGACCCATGAAATAATATCCAAGGATCCAACATTCATTATTTGGAGGCTGAGAAAAAAAGGAGAGCGAAGACAGAAAAAATAAGAGAATGGCTGATCCAAATTTGACAAGAACTATAAACTGACAAATCCAAGAATCTTGACAAATCACTAGCAGAATAATTATAAAGAAAAGCATACCAAGGCATATAATAATCAAACTACTAAAAAAAGCAGTGATAAAGAGAAAATCTTAAGAGAAACAACGATAAAAATGACAGCCTAATTCTCTTTAGTATCTATGCAATCAGAAGACAATGGGCAAATCATTAAAATATTTAAAGAAACACTGTTAATCTAGGAGTCTATATTCAACAAAAATATCTTCCAAAAAATAAAGGCAAAGTAAACTTTTTTTAAAAAGAAAAAAAGCCAAGGAATTCACCACACGCAGACACACACTAAATAACTCTTAAAGGAAGTTCTTCAGGCAGAAAATGGTATCTCAGAGGGAAATCAGGATCCAAATCAAAGACATGTTTCTCCTTGGTCCTAAAAGGCAATTTCTAATTGGTTGAAATGGACAATTGTGGCCTACATTGAAAATGTTATCATTGTTTTTAATACTTTTATTTGGAAAAACACTTTGTAGTTTTCACAACAATCAAGTTAATGAACTTTTAGAATATAACTCATTCTGAAGTTGATACATGTGCTCTAGTTTCCACATAAAATACTTCATATTTACTATAAAAATGAGTTAACTTATAAAATACCACTCTAAATAATAAGAAAGATGCTAATGTTTACTAGTTGTAATAAAAGTATTTCAGGTGTTTGAGAGGAATTTTAAAAAAGATCCAAGAAATGACTGGTCATTTTGCTGATGTTTCCATCACCCTGTGCTTTAAAGTTGGTATTGTGTCTTATCATTGGTTTTCTAAAGAGCTTAGTGGAATGTCCATCATCTGTAGCTGACTCAGGATTACGGTCTGTTCTCTATCACTTTTTGAAATGATAACATTTTTTTCATACTTCATTTGTGTTCCCCAAATAATGGAATATTTAGTTTATTTAGTGGCAAATATTTTTAGCAGCTTTGAAAATGACTTTAATCATTAGTAGGTGTTAAAAAGTTCATTTAAAACTTTCCAATATATGTTTCACTTTATTTTATTGAGAAAAATTTGAGTTATAGAGGTATTTCCCAATTGGTGGAGTACTTGAAGTCTTGAGGCGTCTTTTCTATCCTCACTGCCTATTCTTTTATAATCTATATTTCCCAAATCTTCCTTCTCTCTTAGGCGGTAGCTTGTCATGGTTAAGAGACAGCAGTACCTACAACCAGATCTGGACCTGACTCATGCCTTGGCTGCCCGCTAGCGTTGTGACCTAAGTCATCCGCCTTCACAGCGTCATAAGGCTGAATGAGAGAATGCTTTCACTCAGCACAGTGCCAGGCATGCCAGAAGCACTCAAATGTAGCTGCTCTGTCTCCTTTCCTCCAACACTGTTGTGAAGCAATAAAGAATACATGATCCCAGTTTCAGAGAAAGGCACATACATTCACGATTCATTTGTGTCCTAAAAATCCTATCATGGATTTATTAACTTAGTCAGGTGTTTACGTTAAGCTGATTTTTTCAATGGAGAGCTACTCCTTTAAAGGCAGGCAGGCAGGTGTGGATCCTCTACCTTCCTAGATATGTGGGAATGTTCTCAGTAAAGCAAAATTAATTTTGGGCAAAATTAAAGGGATTATGCAGTTGCTTAAAAAAAAAACTTGTGTAACTTCCCCCAATGCAATTAACCTATATATCTGGTAGCATTTCAGCTTTATTAACATATTGAAGGACAGACCGTGAGATTTCAAACTCTCAGGGGCTTGAGCAGCACCTGTTTGCTCCCCTGTTCTGTAAAGTACTTGTCATATTAGTTAGACTAAAGATAAGGAAAAGGTAAACAAAAAGTGTCTTTTAATTTCAATGTACATTAAATTCTGATGCTGATAAAAGCTTAAGGCACTTTGAGAAAGAATCTGCTCTACCTGAGAGATGCTACAATATAGTTCTATCCCCACACGTGGAAGAATATGTCCAAAGTAGGTGGAAAGGTCCATTACATTGTTTTTTAGCAATTTAGCAAAAAGTTAGTGCTACAATGATTTCACATTTATTTAGGAGCAAATTTTTGCATGTTTGCCCTTTGGTTATTGTTGGTATATAAAAGTATCTCTTTCCATATTAGGAAGCCACAAAAATATAAAGTCAAGAACAAATTAAATGCATGTCAAGCTGTATTTCTAAAGATCCTTTCTTGGTTTACCAAGGACTCAACAACTGCAACAATGAATACAAGACATAACTCACTCAAAGAGGTGGTTAAGTTTATTTCAAACAGTTGTATGAACCAAGTGCTAGTCCCGGGACAATCGAAAATCTGGGATTCAAAACCCTTTTTACACTCAGTCCTGTTAATTTCAGAATAGAAGATTTTATTATCCTACAATCCAAACTAACCCCAGATACACTCAAAACACTTGTCACAAATTTTATAGCAGCATTCTTTGAGGTTTCCATTACTGTAACCAATCTCAATCAACCCGTGATGATTTATGCACAAAGAAGATGCGTAGTGACCAAATTCTTTAAAATCAACATTTCCAGAATCCTTTAAAAAAACAGTCAAGGAGGGAATGTTATTAATGGGGAAGGCTGTGCATGTGTGGGGGCAGGGGCATATAGGAAATCTCTGTACCTTACTCTCAATTTTGCAGTGAACCTAAAACTGCTCTAAAAAAATAGTCGTAAAAAAGATACAGCATATTTATTCTTTTCTTGCCATCTGGTCCCATGAAACACACCTAAGAGTTTCAATTTCCTACACTGACTTTTAAAAACTACTTTAAAACATTAATATAACACATTCAAAGGTTCAACAGCGGAAGATATATTTTTAGAAAGGACAAGGGAATAAAGCCTGAATATTGGTTTAAGCAGCTCTGCACAGTGACATTATTACCTAGATCCCCAAATCCTTTTATAGCTCAGAGAGGTGCCATAAAAAGATTCAGAAAATTATATTTACATTGGTAATAACGAAATTGATGTAAAATGCAACTACTATGAGTATGTGGAAAATAATAGTGCTGAAACTCCATTAATTAAGCTTATTTCATTCTTAGTGTGATTCCAAGAGCGACAATTTTCATAATAAAGTCACAAAGGTACAGCAGTGTTAACAATGTCTTGTTTGGAATAGTTAATAAAGCACATCTAGGATGCCATCAAAATAACTAAATTATTCAAGACCCAGAAAACTGCACAACCACCCCTGAACAGAGAACTGGGGTATCACTAAAAACAGTGTATCAGTGGGTGATGGGCACAACACTCACCTTGACAGTGGAGCCACCATAAAGCCTCTGAGCCAGCAATCTTCCTGCCTGGATGGCGACGGGGGTGAGCTCCAGCTTCCCCTCCAGTATGTCGCCAATGGCATAGATGTAAGGTACGTTGGTCTGCTCTTCATCCGTGACAGGTATTTTTCCAGTTCTGCAAATTCATTCAGTGAAAATCACCATCAATTACCACTAATTAATTAAGTAGAACAAAATCCCCTGTCTCCCAAAGAAGCCCAAAATTGTGACTCTAGCTGAGGGTAACGTTCTAATGTATTTCCAAGGAAAAAAAAAAAAAAAAGCTCAGAGGAACCAAAAGCTTAGAGACAAGTCTGGCTATTTTGAAAAATCAGAATAAGAAAACTGTAAGAAACCCTAAAATGGGAGAACTAGAACACAGAGGTTAAGAATGAAGATTCTAACTTGTAATAACCAGGTCTGTTATTACCTCTACGATCTTAGGAGAGCTACCTAACGTCTCTAAGCCTCATTTTCCCACCTATACATGGGGTGATAATAAAAAGAAGACCATCATCTACCCTAAGGGGTTGTAAGGACTGAATGGAATGTGTATAAAACTTCTAGCACAATAGTTCCTGGCTCATACTTAAGCGCAGAATAAATGTTAGCTATTCATATTATACAAAATCTAAACCTTGGACCCAAGTGGGAACAGGCTAGCAAGTTATTAAGATGATGTAATATTCGATCTGCTAAATCTTATTAAGTTACCTCCTCAACTCCCCTCTCCACCCCAATGAAAATAAATAAATAAAGCAAAACTCCACACAATAAGATTAGGAAATCTCTTCTCCTGAATAAATGTTATTCCTGGAAGGGGGAAAAAACCCTGTATTTTCAGCTTCCAAGACAGCTAACCATTCATAACACTTGTTTTCACTTGGATGTAAGCAAGGTGATACTGGGAAATACCCCATGCCACTCCCATAAGCAGATACCAGTGTCTCGGTTTTCTGGTATAGTGGTTCAGTCTAAAGGACTTTAACTTTTAAGACTTTTAAAAAAATCAAAGCTCTCAGGGCCAGCCCGATGGTATAGCGGTTAAGGTCGCGCAGTCCACTTTGGCAGCCCGGGTTTCACCAGTACGGATCCCAGGCGCAGACTACACACCACTTGCCAAGCCATGCTGTGGCAGGTGTCCCACATAAAATAAAGGAAGATGGGCATGGATGTTGGCTCAGGGCCAGTCTTCCTCAGCAAAACGAGGAGGATTGGCAGCAGATGTTAGCTCAGGGCTAATCTTCCTCAAAAAAAAAAAAATCAAAGTTTTCTTACTTGTAGCTGTCACTAAAAATGTAGTGACCACTTTGGTAATCCTAAAACTTGGTAATTTTAAACACGGTTCAAATCTAAATATTTAATGAAGCTCAAAGCACACACTTGTACACATATACATTGAAGAAACAAAAAAGCAAGCCAGTATATCTCTCATTTAGATTTTGAAAAGGAAAAAGAAACAGGAAATACTGTGAAGGGTACTTAAAAAAGACTTTTCTAAGCTTAAAAAGGGAACTCTCCAACTACGGTAAAAATTACCTTTAAAAATCTGAAACTCCAGTATTAATCAATATTATAAATAACTGAAATAGTATTCAATAAGATATAATAAAGATTTTTTCCTTACTTTTCATTTATCTTTACCCCCACAGTTTCTAAGCCAATTTTTCTTGTGCATGCATCTCTTCCTATTGCCAGCAACACCTGAAAAATTAAATATATAGTGACCGTTAACAAGAAGACTTCCATGTGTTATTTAATCATTTTTCTCTGCTTGTTAAGGCAATTTGATTCATTTTCCAGATCTGGAAAGAAATATTTTATTAACAAAATAATGCAAGAGTTTAAACAAATTCAAATCTTTTAAATAAAATCCTTTCAACATGATATAGGAGAAGTCCTTATCCATTTCTTGTGAAGAAAAAAGGAGTTAATTCCTTAATAAATCTAGCCAAGTTGAGAGACAACGGCAGTATAGCCCTACGACTGAATTAAGTTATCTTTTAAAATGGGGTGGGTGGGGGAGAAAAAAGGAAAGAACACAGGACAGAGAAATTCTAGCTCATTTAAAAATGCTAATGCCTTTTTATAGCCATTTGAAAAGCAACCTTTTAAAAGTTACAATGTAAAAAATTTGAAACTATCCCTGTACCCAAACAAACTATAATATCACAAACAAAAAGATATCTTAGAATGGGAATAGAACCAGGGGCTTTGGAAATAGCAAACAGCCATTGCAAGTACACAGCAAATACCCAACAAGCACATTATTTGCTTTCTAATGAAGTACTGACCCAGGTCCAGTCCTTACCGTGTTATACTCTCCTTCGATGGTTTCGTCACCTTTGGTGGACTGAGCTACCACTCTGAGTCGGCCTGGTGTCCCTGCTTCAATCTGTTCAACCTATAAAAGTGACAAAGTCTTACTCCACAATTAAGACGTATATCCAGTGAATAATTGTGTCTTCCCCTTCTATCTGGTTAACCCAAAGTTAAAACACAAAATCTGGCTTGAAAGTTCTTTTATGCCCCATCTTCCTCACCTTAACACCATTAGGATGGTATGTCATTCTTTTACTTATCCTCTTCTTTCTCACCACAATGTTAGCTAGAGGGACTTTCTTTTAAATAGCTCTCCAACAGAATAAAATTCAGAGAGAAAAGTGGGAAAGGAAAAAGCCAGAGAAAGCACCTTACAATCCCTAAAATTAAAACAACCACCTACTGCTTTTCCCAGGCTCCTATCTTATCACTCACCCAGAACCATTAATCCCCTGGAGAGCCACTGCTGCTCTCTCAAGATTGTCTTTCGACTAGATGTTCAGCTTTGTCAACAAAGAATAGACATGAGAGTAGGCCAATCATGATACAAATAACAGCTGGAAAGCCCTAAAAATCATAGAGGGCAAGGAGGTATGTGTGTTTATCATAACTAGGGGTTATCTTCAGTTGTTAAGGCTACAGGGAGGAATGAGCAAGCCCAAGTACTTGTGCTATGGCAAAGGAGACTGAACATACTAACCCACTACACATTGATGTCAACGATAACCTACAGACTCTGTAACAATGACTTAGAAACCCTATCACATGCAGGCCTCTGCAAGTATGTAATTAATCTTTGATGTCTCTGAATGAGAGCCAAACCATGGGTTTCTATAAAATATTTACTGGAAGAAACCCATCAAGTCACCAGCAATTTCTACTCTGTCATTAAAATAAACCACTCTGTACGGGAAAACTCATTTTATGTTCAACATCAACAAATAGAGATTTCTTTCTCAAATTTCCTTCTTTTCTCATATACGTGGCCCCTTTGAACATATCAGAAAGGTCTTTCCTGTTTAATTTAAATTAAAATGTTCTAATCCTTGGAGAAGAGTTGAATTGGTCCACAGCTTAGATTTGCTTAAAAATGATAAGGGCCTCATCCCACCTCTATTTCCTTCCTGGCTTACTCATTTTTGTGTTCCAGGCAGGCCTTTTCTGGATCTAGAACACTTCCTGCATTTAGAACAATTTTATTCCCCACGGCCTCTTTGCACATATTATGTTCTTTGTTCAATATGTGCTTCTTCCCTCCTCTCCATAGAAGGTTCCCTCCACTCAGTTACTTTATAATACAGCTAGCATTCTCTACCTGTCTGTGGGGATCCAAGACACCCTGGTAACCCAAGCAAAATGCGACGTGCCCAGACACAGGGTTATTTCACTAGGGATAGTCCACCGGGTTCTCAAAGGGCCCACGATTCCCAAAACGTTAAGATATTATAAACGAAGATGTTACTTTTCTATCAGTACAGCACATACATACAGGTGTTGTTTTCTAATCATAGTCCTAGTTCAAATATAGTATATGTATCTCTACTCCCCCAAAACCAGCTACCTAATTTATTTATTTATTTAAGGTAAATAAGGGGGGCTGGCCTGCTTGCCTACTCGTTAAGTTCAGTGTGCTCCATTTCAGCGGCCCAGGTTTGGTTCCCAGGCACAGACCTACACCTCTCACTAGCTATGACATACAAAATAGAAGATTGGCCACAGATGTTAGCTCAGGGCCAATCTTCCTCAGCAAAAAATAATGAAATGATGATGGAACACTCCCATTTCCTTAAACACAGTAACTTCCAGGAAATTTGCTATGTAATCTTCACAACAAACTTATGAGAGAGATCTGTTTTAAACTTACTCTGTCCCAGGTACTATTCTAATAACTTTCTAACTAAGTATAAGCTAATTCGATCCTCAGGCCGGCCCCGTGGCCGAGTGGTTGGGTTGGTGCACTCCGCTTTTGCGGCCCAGGATTTCGCCGGTTCAGATCCTGGGTGCAGACATGGCACTACTGATCAGGCCATGCTGGGGCAGCGTCCCACGTGCCACAAATAGAAGGACCCACAACTAAAAATATGCAACTATGTACCAGGGGGGCTTTGGAGGAAAAAAGGAAAAATAAAATCATTTTTTTTTTTTAAAAAAAAAGCTAATTCAATCCTCATAAGAACTCTGAGATAGGTGCTATTTATCATTCTCACTTTACAGAAGAAACTGAGGCTCAGAGAAGTCCAGTCATTCTCCCAAAGTCATATAGCAAGAAATTGGCAGAACAGTATCTGAATTCAGGTCATTCTGATCCCAATAGTCATAACTCAAACCCATCAGCATTAAGAGATTCCTGATCCCACAATAACCCACTGAGCAATCAGAAAACATGATGGCTAAAATTCCTTCACTTTAGCAAAATAGTCCCCATCCTGATCTGCACTAAAGCCAACTATCAGTTTGAGATATGCAAAGTGATCAATCTTGTCACTCTTACATTTCAAAACATTCATGACAGTGTTAACAAGTTCCAAATATGACGTGGCATATTATTCAGCCTTTTTTTCAAAAGAAGATTAAATGAAAAAAAAAAAGGTCAGCCTACACAACAAAATTAGATAATCATTTCTAGGGAAGCCAGAATAATACAGTACATCTGTGACTCTGCTGTATACCAAAGAGAAAGGTCTTATGCAGGGGGGAAAAAAAATCAGCCCAGTCTTGAACTCTCATTTAAATCACTGATACGTATGAAGAAACAAAGTATAACAGACCAAAGAAAATAAAATAAAGAAATGCATAACAGGAAACATTAAACAGAAGAGAATCAAAGGTAAGAAAGCTGAGAAGGGAAGGAAGAAATTATGTTTGTGTATCACAGTTGAGGAATCCCAGCAGTCCTGACGGTTTACAATGCTGAAAGGATGCTTCCATCACCCACCCCAACTCTTCTCTTGCCTTTTAACTTGAGTATAAGATCAACAAACCTACAGGCAACCCCACTTACTTTTATTGGTACAAACTGTTTTATAAACTTGACACCGTGTTCTTCCATATGTTCACCAATTTTGTTGGCCATGTCCTGGTCAAATCCTCTAAGGAGAATGGACCGTACCATAACAGTGACATCTAAACCAATGCCAGCAAGAAATCCAGCACATTCCAAAGCTACATAGGAGGCTCCAACCACCAGGGTCTTACCCGGGCAATAAGGTAAGGAGAAAAGATCATCACTGAAAAGAAATGTAAACAATAAATAAATAAATAAGAAGAAATGAAAGAGAAAAATGTTCATATGTGAATAATGACCAAATCAAAGTAAATACTTTTACTTTGTTAAGAACAAGACACTTTTAAGATTAAAAACATTCAATTAGCTACATACATAATATCTGAGAAGTTTTTATAAGGTCTTAGACATTCTCCCATTCTTGCTACTCAGTTGCTTTGGGAGTAGCTCAAGCTACCGTGGCTGAACACAGCAAACCACCTAACTTCTGACATCAGTCCAACTCATGGTCAAACAAGGATTTTGTACTGTTCAGAGTAATTCTCCATGTATGTGTTTAAAATCACAGCTTTGCAAACCGAAACCCCTACCCTCATCCCACCACTCAGCTCTCCCCAAGGTGGAAAACCTGTGTTATTAATCCTCATCTGCAAAATCAACTATCAAGAGAGGAGAGAAGAGTGGGGAAAACACTTTCAACATACTGTTTGTGTAATATAAAAGCCAACCATAAAGAATAAAGGGGCTGGCCCCGTGGCCGAGTGGTTAAGTCCGTGCGCTCCGCTGCAGGCGGCCCAGTGTTTCGTTGGTTCGAATCCTGGGCACGGACATGGCACTGCTCATCAAACCACGCTGAGGCAGCATCCCACATGCTACAACTAGAAGGACCCACAACGAAGAATATACAACTATGTACTGGGGGGCTTTGGGGAGAAAAAGGAAAAAATAAAATCTTTAAAAAAAAAAAAAAAGCCAACCATAAAGAATAAAACCTGACAAAATCTTCTAGTGAAGTGAGGAGTAGACAAGACATAAGAGAGATCATAAAAGCATTGTTGGGGAACGAATTTTTTTTAAATATGAGAAGGGAGCCTCATCAAGATAACAGTGATGACAGTTGCCTTCTGAGCTGCCCCAGATGAGGCACGAAGGATAAAATCATATTATAAAAAAAAGAGCCTAAAAATGAGTCATTTATAACACAATTAGAAAATCCTGGGCCAAAAGCATCCAAGGGGACCAACAATCTGTCTTAATGATTTCATAATTTAAAACTCAACGTCACCAGTATTATCACTTTATGGGCAAAAATAAATCACATAGCAAAACCCTGACTGACTCACTTATTTCAGAAGGTCCCTCTGCACAGACACTATGATCATTTGAACAGCAACAAGTAGGGACTAGGGTCTGATAAACTCAGACGGCCTGCCATCGTCTAATTCTTTTAGCATTCACATTGCAAGTGTTAAAGGGTAATAGATGACCCTAGTTTTGCAAAAAAAAAAAAAAGTACATATGTATAAATCATTTATTTTACAAAATTGTTTGTGAATATCCATCTGGTTTTATACAGTATATATTTGTAATATATACTCACGTATATAAATTTCTAATATAAATATTATAAGCATATACATTAGCAGTGATATTAATTCTGGGTGATAAGATAACTAATGTTTATAGTTTTGACTTTTTTAAATGTTCTCTGGGGTAAACTAATTTTTCCTTTCTCTTTTTCCCAATCCTCGGTCCCTTTGGGCAAAAATCTCTAAACTCCAGGAAACTGATTAAATGGTTTTGAAGAAAAAAGCAAACGCATAAATCCACAACGGGTTTTTCTTTCCTCCCTGCTACTTTTTCCTTACCTGCTGATGCAGTATTCTTTGTCACCAGGGATATCTAAATAACGTGGCCTTTCACCAGTGGCAATGAGAAATTTCTCTGCTGAATATATTTTTTCTTTGCCTTTGTTATTTGTTGTCTACAAAGGAACCAATATTATCAATTTTTAATAAGTTATTATCCTTTAGAACCATAAATTTTGTAATTAAAAAGGCCAGTCACCACACTGTCCAATTTGATCCTCGTGAAATTTGGTAATGCAGTAAGAGCTAGCTATTAAAGCTCTGCATAGCAAAGGGGCTTGCTGAAGGTCATAATGCTAGGAAGTGGCAGAGCCAAGACTCAAATTCAGGTCATCTGGCCCCAGATCCAGTACTCTTACCCTTTACCATACACACTGCAAGAGAAAGCCCCATAAGATGTGACTGCAAAGTCACCAAACTAGACAGCCTGCGTTATTACTTTTATTAGGACAATCACTTTCTCTTTTCTTCCCCCTCCCTCATGCAAAGCTTAAGAAAACAAAAAAACAAAGAAAAAAGGCCACTCAAGCTGTCACACAATTACCTTAATCCTATGGGGACCAATAAACTGCCCGTATGCGTTCTCATAGGTGACTTTCTTCTCCCGCAGAGCTACCCGGTAGCCCCAGTTCAGAGAGCCAATGTGATTCTGTACAGCTTCTGTCATTTTTTCCCAGTCATGTTTAACTGCACAAGAAAAGATGAAAAAATGTGTAGCTTTTCAACAGCCTGGCAAAGATCATTTCTCAGAAACCATTCACATAAAATACAAAGAGCAGAGCTTTTAGTCTAAAAGGGCAAGTCCTCCATTTCAAGCATATAACCAACCTTTTGATCTTCAAACATTCTTTCTCTTTTAGAAAACTATGATACAATTAAATAATGCAAGGCTTTCTGGCAATTCTTAAGACTAAAACAACTGCACACAAACTTTTTTCTTCTTTATCAAAAACAAATGGGAATTTTACTTTGCGTTGTACACACTGATTGCTGCGGTAATGGGGTGTAGTAAGGTCTAAGATTCTGTACTTCTAACAGTCTCCAAGGGATTCTGATGCAGCCAGGCTTGGAGTTATTAAACTGGTAAACTAAGGCCCCACGAGCCAAATCCAGCCCATCATCTTTTTTTTTAAATAAAGTTTTATTGAAATATAGCTACTATCATTTATTTATATATTGTCTAGGGCCATTTTCAATGGCAGAGTTGGGTAGCTGTGACAGAGACCCCATGGCCTGAAAAGCCTAAAATATTATCTGGCCCTTTACAGAAAAAGTTTGCCAACTCCCCTAGTCTAGTCAAAGAATATTAAGAGTCTGTCTCTTGGCTCCCCAAACCCTCATCTCTCCAAAGAGAGTAGGATTTTTAAATTCTATCACAAAATTAATCCATTGAGTCAAGGCATAATATAATATCAAATTTCAATGGATAAAAACCAATCCTTTGTCATTCATTAATTACTACCTTACCAATGACTGGGAAAAAAAACAGGATACAGGTAAAATATACTCTGGTGGCAGGAAGAAGGTAGGTTCTGAGGAAGCTGTGGTTATAAGGGAAGAAGAGAATAGAATCAATATATACTGAAAGCCTCTATTGCAGAAATGAGCAGTCTGAGTCTTAGGTTCTGGGCTAAGTAGCTTGGCCACACAGGAAGTGGTGAAATCGAGTCTCTAAGAACCAATGGTCAGCCTCTGGAAGTAGGAATGGCAGCATAAAAATTGGTTGCGGCCTCCTAGAGAACAGATTATAGATATTCGATTCATAGAATCATAAAATGTTAAACTGGAGCAAATCTTGACAGATCAGTTCAATTAGAAAACAAGTGACTGTGGAGGCCAAGTGGTTGTGATACCAAGAGGACTAGGGGCTGGGGCGTGGTGGATGCTGCAGGGAGCCTGGCAGCCTGTCTGTCTGGCCTCCATAACCACCACTATAAAAAGAAGAGGCAGGACTCACTGTTTCTCCACCAGGAATGGAATAGAATAGCAGAACTCACCCCCCATGTGCCAATCATCTAGTTGCAACAACTACCAACAGTTTATCAGTCTCATTTCACATACCTCTCTTTTTTTTACTATTTACTATTTTAAGCAAATTCTAGACATTTTATTCCGGTGGTTGTGGTTGTCAAGTGACTCAGGGATGCCCAAGGGCCAGTGATGCTAAGTATCCCCCAACACAGTTCCTTTCAACTAGGAGCTGCCCAGCCCAATGTGCCAATAATGCCCCCACGGAGAAACAATGAACTGGATCAAAGAGAGGATTCAGCTCTGAAATTCTACAGTTGTAGAACTACTAAAGGGATTATACTCTGCTAATCCTACAGGAGATACCATATTCTAAAAGACACAGTTGGGATTAAATAACAGCATCAACAACTTCAATTATTTCCATGATGGAAATTCAAATTCAATGAGTAGACCTAATCCAACTTAATTCAGATTTCCAAACTCGTCAACCCCCCCTTTCCCTACCAAAGTCCCTTCGTCCTCTGGTAGAGCAGACAGCCACCTCCACTCCCAGTCTCTATTGTGATTACACTCGCTCAGGCAGGCGGAATTTAAAAGTTCCAGCCCACCAGTTTGGGATTCAGCATTCAAGGCACTCTAGCTGCTCCTAAGGTCCTGATCGTGCATTCCATTCTGAGAACTAAGTTTCTGTCTCATAAAATCCAAATTCCTATTTTATATGCTACTGGTGGGAACTGGATCCTTGTTGGACTGAGTGTGGTACCATGCCTGGAACCCCAGATCTCTAGGGCTGCCCTGCCTTCTGATAATGCCCCAAATCCACCAGCTCCCTGTAACCCCCAACCCCACCTGGACACTACATCCTCCTCAGTCCACCTGACAGCATAGCCCCAGCATTTCTCCTAGGCCTCCTGACCCTGCTGGCTTGGTCAACCAGCTGTAATCCAATGCTAAGCCTCTGGAACGTGGATTCTAGTTGGCCAGGCAGATCTTGTATTTCACCTGGATGTACCCTCATGCCTACTACAGCAGAGGGATCTTCAGTCAACTCTCTGTTGCTCCTGATCTGCCCCATCCCACCAGAGAAAGCCAGGCTACACCTTTAAATTCAAAAATAGTAACCAGACTAACAGAACTACCTTTAACAAGTTCAGCACAACTTCTCATTTGAAACTCAAAGCACCAGAAGGGGCTGGAATTAGTCCCATTATACACACAGGGAAATTAATGATGGACTGACCTGCCCAAGGTCACACACTAACTCAGTGGCAGTCACAGACACACTGTACGTGAAACGTCAGGTGTGTGGTGGGAGAATACAACCAGAAACTCTGCAAGACCCCAGTGGGGAACCAATGATGTTGCTTTCTTTGTAATGACAATGGAATCCTAAAACTTCTCAAATACTTAGTTTTTTTAAAGGCAGACTAAATTCTTGAGACAAATTTGAAAAATATAAAGCTAATAAACCTTCCAGAAAGGACCAATTCATCCAGTTTAAATGATCGAGCTCAAGTAATTTTTTTTTCAAGGCTGAGACTCTTTGTATATTCTCAGCCTGGAGCTTTCGGAAAAAGGCAGAGCACAGGCTGAGTCCCGGACGTGTCATTCCCCCGGTCACCACGCAGATTCAGCTGTTCTGCAGGGCCCAGGGTCCCTTCCTCCTCTACCGCACTCAGAACTATTTGCAGTGTCAGAGAAGACAGTCTTCCCAGAAAACTGGAGCACTGTTCTTTGCTCAAGGACACGAGACTAGATGTGTTTCTATACGAAAAATGCAAAATAAGCCTTCTGCTGGGAACACGGATCAGCAGCCTCTAGGGGTCTCTCATTTGAAAAATACACCTCCAAGCTTCTTTCTTCCTCTAAGAGCTAATGACATAAAGTAAGGTTTGCCTAAATCCACTGTATTCTTCACCACAATCATTTTAGCACAAAAAGGAGGCAGGTAATTACTGCTCCCTGAGTGGTGGATCCTGAGGCACAGCAGGCCACACCCACAAAGCCCAGCTCTGGTTCTCACAGTCAGGCCAGCTGGCTTCGGGAGGCCCAAGGCTTGATGAGAGAGCTGAAGACAACAATAAACAAACCACCAGGCTTCCACTCAGGAAGAGTGAAGGGATCTAAACAGAGGGCACAGCTCTTCAACAGCTCTCATCAAAGACCTCGGGATTGCTGCTGCTGACCAACACAGGAGGTGGGAGGTATAAAACAGACAATCACATATTTTTACCTTGAAATCTGGAAAGAGGGAAGAAACACAAAAGAGGTAAAACTATTAAATTAGTAGGCTAAGTAATTTCTGTAAGGTTAGACACAGATAACTTTGACTTGGTTCAAGTTTTAAAACTCCATGGAATTCAGAGTATTTGCTGATTTTAATGTATAGATCTGGACTATGCCAGTAGTGGCTCTTTACCACCTCAAACGTTGTACTTTAATAGATTTTTTTATATAATTTAGACATAAATTCAACATAAATAAGAATAGCCAGTGCTTATTATTGTTACATGACAGCTACAGAAATAGCTTTTGCTGGAAAGATTTGTCAATTCACCAATTATATTTAATCACCTACCTGGTGACTGAATTTATTAGAGTTATACTTAGTTGACCCTGTTAATAAAATTCACGTTTGGCAGAGACGTGCACTTATCCCTTATCTTTTTAAGGTTCTAAAGACCCACTATATATATTTTCCTACATTTCTAACAAATTAAGCAATTCTGTTCCACTGACTTTACTTTTATAAGAGTTGATAGAGTAAAGCTAACATTAACTAGTACAACATACCAATTCAAGTACTAGACCCTATATGAATGAATAAAAATTTTATGACTCTAGGTTGTAGCTCCCCACCACCATTATTTACCTAGACGTAAGGGACAGTGGCCCTCACTATGAAGACATATGGAAGTTACAAAGCCTCATATATCAAAATTTGCTTGGAACAACTCTACGCTTTCCAACAAATTCTAGACTTTTTTAGATTAATATTCTTGTTACATATCTTCTCTTTAAGAGGGAACTAACCTGGCTCAAATATACAACTTTCTATAACATCTGTAAATCTATTTCTACAACCCATTAAACAAAGAACCAAGAAAAGTGAGCAGCGGCTACTCCAAATTTATTGAAACTCTGAATGGAAGAATTAAAAGAAGTGATCCAGGAGGGACAGAAATAAACATTTGTTGAGTGGCAGGTATTTTAATCACTCTATTGTACTTAATCCTCATCACACAGGCAGTAAAAGGCAAAATCAGAATTTGTGCCCAGGTCTATCTACTATAATAACCAACACTTTAACGGGTCGTGAAGGCTGGGGTGAAGGAAGGATCTTAACTCTAGATATCCTAGGGAAAGAAGTCCCGCTGAGAATACCAGTAAAAAATAAACATGGAATGATTGGGGGAGAGGGGATCACAGATCTTCCAGGAGTGACTGGAAAATAAAATGGGTGGTTCTTAGGTTTTCCTCCCAAGGGTACAGAAGGAAAACTGGAGTGTGGCCTAAAGACTACATATCTAACTTGCCCTTTCTGGGAAGAGTGTGGTAAGGAGAGACACACACATAGCCATGTCGAAAGCTCTCAATGTGTCTGCCCGTGTAACACTCCTGAAGCTCTGATCCTGCAAAGGGGCTGCCACCGAAGCCCTGAGGGCTTAAAGAAGACCATCTGTGGTGTGAACCCCAAACGGTTTCAAGTCAGAAAGACCTCAGTCCTAGTGCCACCAATTTCTTAGCTACGACAGGAGCAAGCTACTTCCCCTCCTAGAGCTTGTTTCCTTGTTGCCAAATGGGAACAAAAGGATCTCTATCAAGGGATAGAAGGGTTAAATATGTACTGGACTAGAGATGGAATAGAGGGTAGTATGAGATGATCTGACTTTAACCACCAATCCTGACCAGTGAATCCACAGAAGGCTGGTGGGAGGTTGAGAGGGTAACAGGGAAAGATGGTAGCTTCCTTTCTGCTTCAGCTTTGGTCTCTACCTTCTCTCCCCATTTTCTTCCTACTTCTATCTCAATAACCAGGACAGGAAGTATCTACAAGCATCTGTTCCAACCTGCCCTTAGCAAAATGGTGCAGCTTGCTGAGCTGATCTGCATTCCTCCTGCTACCCCTCTCCCAAACCACCCTGGGCGTTCAGCCCACAGCAACAGTCCTTTCCCACTCCTCATATACGTTCCCCACACAGCCCAGACTCTAGCGACGCCAGGGTATTTGCTATTCTTCAAATATGTACCTTGTTCATTCTGTTCTCACTGCCTAAATGAAGTGACCGCCCCGGGCCTCCTCTGCTGATTGTCAAGGACACAACATCTGAGAGACCATCTCCACTCACCTCTTAAATCACATTTTCCAATTCTAACTCTGGGCTCCCAGGGTTCTTGGTCTGTACATCAATAATATTAATGATAACAGAATCTGTGTACCTATAGGATTTGTGCTATTTATCTCTATTTCCCCAGCACAGACTGAAGTGCAAATAGTAGGTACTCAATAGTAATGTCATATAACTTCATCAGCAGGATTTCTAAAACGTCTACAAAGAAGTCTAAAATTAGCTGAAGGGAGACCCTGCCGTTAACTAGGTGCATTATCAGTAGGCTTCCAGGAAGGGAAAGAGTGCATTAATGGCAGACTTAGTTGGCAGGCATTCGGACACAGGAGTAAATAACAACTTGGAGCAGGGTAGAGGTGGGAATAGAAGTGGACTGTTTGTAGATTATGTGTTAAATTCATGCTCAACAGGTCAATGAGTCTGCTCAACTGCCATTTTTGTTGGGCAAGAAAAAAGGACATGGGGCATGGCATGCCAGAACCAAACACTGAAACTCTCAGCGCTGGCCTCAGGCCTCCAAAGGTCATCGACAGAAAGCAGCCTGTAACAGTTTGAGCAGAGATAAGACCCCAGCTTAAGAAAACTTTTAAAGTGACTGATTTTCTAAGATTCCAGACTTGGAAAAAAGTACTGTTGATTTTAAATGGGAAATAAAAGCATCAATGAAGGAAGCATGACTAGTTTGAGCGGGAGCAAAGTGTTTCAAAGTAAGTATTTATGCCTTGTGGGTTTTTTTAAATATTTAATAAACTATTAATTAAAACTTAAGGGGCTGGCCCCGTGGCCGAGTGGTTAAGTTCACGTGCTCAGCTGCAGGTGGCCCAGTGTTTCGTCAGTTCGTATCCTGGGCGCGGACATGGCCCTGCTCATCAGGCCACGCTAAGGTGGCGTCCCACATGCCACAACTAGAAGGACCCACAACGAAGAATATACAACTACGTACCGAGGGGCTTTGGGGAGAAAAAGGAAAAAGGAAGAATCTTAAAAAGAAAAAAAAAAAAAACTTAGAAAAGGCCACAAAATAATTTGCCCTAGCTATGGCTGGAAGATTCCCCTCATACGTCCCATAGCCCATACATCTCAAACTAACATCAGATAGGGGTTGGAGTTTCACTCTTCAAGGGCATGACCTACGTCATTAATTAGCCACAAAGCTGTGCCAGGCCTCATTCTCTTTTTCTGCCAGATAACGCAATCAACTTTCTAAAGTCAACAAGTTCCTTTTCAACTTGTCTAGGGCTTCTAGGGTACTCTAAATATTTTTAATCCAACAAAGACTAACTATCCTCTTCTCAACAAACAATTCCCCCACCTTCAAAATATCAGCTCATGAAACAGACTTCATTAGAGAGAGAAAAATGTGACAGCTTCAAAGGAGAGCAAATGTAATTTGTACTTCCTTATGGAACTCTATGTAATTATGAGAACTTATTTGACAGAATTCTGGTTTTCTATTATAGAAAGATATTCCAAGTGCCATATCAGTTCCTACCATAATAGCTATGTAGCTACCCGGCGCAGGATAACTGCAGTGATTTTATCCACAAAAAAACATAAACAATAGCAACAACTTCCGGGTTATTTGTTAGTCTTGTAAAAATGGATGGTGCATTTCAAGATCATAGCTCAAACCCTGCAAAAGCACAAAGGGAAGAGTGGCTTCTCCCCCTTACCCATCTCCTCGACATTCCATCCGTAGTTTCGAGAGTCTCGTAGGGCTTGTCCTAACAAAGCTGCTTGGTGCATCAGTTTTTTAGGTATGCAACCCACATTCACACACGTGCCGCCAAGACCTGCAACAACATTGAGACGTCAATCTATAGCTGCTTCACAACCCACAGAGAAACAGGTCAACGATCATTACTATTCTGACATCATAATTTGCTTAATGTAGCAATATTGTTTATACAAGTTTATTCCTAAGTCTCATGACATTTCTATGTAATAAGAGCCTTATATACCAAACACAGTGACATCACTCTAAAACAAAAATGAACAGATTTCCACATACTTCAAAGATTCAAAACTAACTGACTGCTGATAAAGAAGCCAGAAATTGAAATTTTACTTTGTGCACAGCCCTAGACTTGCCACCCAATCTGTGAATAAACTAACTGATAAGGAGTTGTGACGCTGGGCATGACTGGACTGTAGCTGTAGTGGGTCTGTGACTACCTATAAGATTTGTGATGTATGAGCATTTTTTTAAGGAGGTGGTCTACAGCTTTCATTGCTTCTCACAAAAGAATTCATGACCACCCACCTGGCCCAAAAATGTTTAGCATCACTAACCTTAAGGAACATGGTGATAACTTGTCTCCATAAGAACAAAATGTGGGCAGGTGGGGAGGTGGCCAAAATGACATGAGTAAGAGGACAAGATGGCAGTGGACTCCATAGCTCAGGAAAACTAAGCCCTCTGAAGAGAACATTACCAGAGTGTCACTAGGGGTGTAAGCTCCACAGGCCAGAGGGGCTACGCCCAGCACAAGGCCAGTGCTTTACACAAGTGACACCTAATAAATATTTGCTGAATGTTTGCATTAGAAATTGTGACACTGTATTATCCAGACTTCCTGCTTCTGGCGTCCTTCTAGTTTGAGCAGCTGAGTCACCTGCCTTCCTCTGCAATCTTACCTCCAGCTCCCATCACCAATGGCACAACCATGCAGGACTCTTACCTACTTCAGGGCCTTTGTATGTGCTATTCTGTGAGAAAGACAGAGAAAAGTTGCCTACAAGATTCTTCCTCAGCTTTTGGCACAGTTGGCTCATTCTTATCTTTTGGTCTTATCTAAATGCCACCTTTTCAGAGGCCTTCCTTGATAATCTCGGAGTTTAAGTCCTTCCTTGACCCAGTTCCTCTTTATTCCACTACACAATTATTTCAGTACACTTACCACAATTCGTAAAGATCTTGCTTATCTTTGCCTCCCCACTAGCATGTAAACTGCACAAAGGCGAGAAGTTCCTGTCTACCATGGTCACTGCTATAGCCTCATCACCCTGGAGCACAGTAAGTGCTCAATAAATACTGTTGAATAAATGAATAATGAACACATAATTCACTAAGACTGAGAAGGGCTATCCATTAAGGTATCTGATTCTAGTTCTTGCTGACTGTAGGAGGCGGATTTAAAACAGAAATCCACAGATCAAGAGTTTAAACTTTCAGTTATTAAGCCCCTAAGTATATTAGGTTACTCAAATATTTAGCTTTAAACCATAGCAGCTGTGGATAAGGTTTTGCATTATCTTAACTCTACGCCAAAGAACCTAAATTTTCAACATTTAACTGGAGTCCATTTTAACTTAGCACAAGTGAAAGAAGTACACGTTTTTGTTTTGTTTTGCTTTTAATTTTTAAATTAGGTTTTAGGAGTCATTTAAACTAATGCCAGGTGAAAACTTGCTCCTACAAATTCATTTCTAAAGTATTTTAAAAGCTTACCCCATCTAGTTCCAAGAGGGGTTGGAGTGACAAAATCCAGGACCATCACCTTCTTATTATATTTGGCTGCCTCCTGAAAAGTAAAATTATTAAAATGAGTTGGAAAGGTTAACATGATAGACCAGAAATGGATTGTTAAAAATCCATACTATTTTTATTAAGCTATAATGCTTAAAGCATAATCAGTCATTAATACCTGGGAATTTCATATACCAAGATGAAACTGTAAATCCAAGACAAAAATTAAGCAATATTTAGATAGTCATAGGGTAGCTTTAAAGAATATGCAGATACAGTTGTAAAATTGTCAAGAGTCAGCTGGAAACCCTAGAATCCCATTACACAATTCCACTCAGACAGTGACAAATTAAGCAACAACCTGAAAAACGCGGCCACTTCTGAGCAAGGGGCAAGTAGCCAGTAAAACAGACTTGCTGACAGTCTACAAGCCTTCATTCACCCTGTATCCTCTAACAAAATATCATCTAACTCAGTTTCTAGGCAGAATATTGGACATGTTTTTCTTAAGAAATTGTCAGATTTCCTAAAATTTTCCTGTGAGGAGCCCATGAAAAAGTTGGTGGTATCTATAAGGTTTTCTAATCTATTTTAGGGGAGTGATGACAACACTCAGAAGTTCATTTTGCAGAGTATCCTTTATCTTTCTGAGAAAATAAACTTTGTGTATTGGCAACTAGACCTCCAAAGTTTATTTGAAAGGACTGAGTCTGTGCATCCCTTCAAAACAACCACTGCTAGAGCAAAACACATCTGGTATTACTCCTGAATCATTTACAGCAAAGCACTGCTTGATGCCAGACACCGGACCTGCTCCTAACTTGGGCAGCTTCTCTTGAATCTACCTTTACTGATTCACCACAAGCTACCTGAGGGGATTACCGCCTCATCTTTTAAAAGAACCTGTCGGGGAAGGATGACAGGCCCAAGGGTCCCAGGCCCCTCATACATGAAAAATGTGTCTCAATTCCGGGCCAGGAGCCTCACTCCTAACCTCCCTCATTATACATCCTCTACCCCACCACCCTGGGCCACAGTGTCAGTGGTTATCCTCTTAGCTCACTTCATATACACAGGAAGCAAAAATTTTAATAATTAAGAAATCCAATTGCTGCTCTCCATCTTTCTATTGGGGAGGAGTGGTTGTGAACAGAGAAATCATTAAAGTGAAAAGCCTAGTATTAATATTTATAAAGAAAATTAAATATATTTAATTTCAAAGCATTTCCATACAATTTCCATTTCCAAACTATTTCCTTATGCACTGTGAAAAATCAACCGAACTTAAAATGAATGAAAATGAGTCCCAAAATACTGGGCTCACTACTTTTATATAAAAAACAAATAGTGCAACCTAGAAAAATGATTTATAAAGTGGTCCCTTAACATGTCCTGCCCAGATTAATGTGCAAAATGCCACAAGAGTGACTCAAACAGATCCCACAGCACACCTGGAGAACTGTGTCAGGGATGTAGCTACTCTACCCACAACCCAGACAACACACAAGGGGCCTTGCCTTAGCAGCCGCCAGGCCTCCTGAGCCCCCTCCAATGATGATGAGGTCATAGTCATAGGACTCGGGAAGATCCTCAGAGCCATTCATTTTCAGTAGCTTTTGAAGTCTGCCCTCCTCAGAAGCCTAAAGAAGAAAAACAATGGAAGGGAAAATAATTTAACTTAAAAGCAGCAATGTCTAACAAGTTTTGCGAGAAAACCTTCCTTTAAAGAAAAGCAAAAGGAACTTTCAAAGGAAAAATAGTGTTTGGTTCATGTTATGGCATGCAGATGGAAATGTTCAACCTTCCTTCAAGTGGTGATTGGTACCCTGCTTCCTGTGAGGACTGTCCTATGCCTTTTCACATCCCAGACAGCTACTCCGAAGTGTTCCTATAGTGATTCTACAGAAGCAAGGTACTGACGGCCAACAAAGTCAACTTAGGCCTAAATTAAGTTTAACCATCCGTCCTTTTCTCCAGGAATTATTAAACTGGGTTTTTAATTAGGTTTTAAAGCATTTGTATTGTATGCTTCTAATAGAACCATCCATATAACTTGGCAATCATCTTTACTTTCTAGTGAAAGGTAGAATAATGAGGGGGCTAAGGTCTCAGATTAAGATAGGGGCCTGGTAAACAGCAGTTGAAACAGATTAGCTAAATATTTAAGACTTTTCTACATTATTCAGGTAAGGCATAAAATCTAGAAATTCAGAACAAAATCCTTAATTGACATTTACCTGCATGAAAAGTTAAACACAAAGCTCTCTGCTTTTGCAAGGCATTGTAAATAAGCAAAAAAAAAAAAAAAGGGAGAGGGGGCTAACTAAGCACAACTCTGTAAAGCTCATTTATTTAATCTACCTATGTGAGAAACGTCCTATGTTTAGTAATTAGCTTCCATGGACTTGGCATGTAACAGGCTATTAATAGAAATGTTAGCCTTCTAATAAAAAAAAAAAAATTTCATTCCACTAGTTTTTATACACATCAGTTACATTTCATATTAGCTTGGAACACTGTTTTGGTGATATATTTAATATTACCTTTTATTAAAACTCTGTGCTAACATGGGATAATGATTGGAAAAGTTAACAAGCACAAAAAAATGTTTTTTAAAAATCAAGTTTTAACCTTAACAATCAAAAAAGCCCCCAAACTTACCAGCCCAGACTGCCCATTTTTCTCCTGCCTATCGTGAGATGTAGGGGGCAAAGGGCAGAGCTGAGGGTCAGTAGAATAGGACGCTTGGGATGTGGAAGGGAGTGCTGTGGAGGAAGGTGGACGAGGAGACTCGGCACTGTGGCCGCCCCTTGGCAGCATGGCAGGTACACACGACGGCTCAGGGACTACAGGGAGAACACCTCGAAACCAGCAACAATGGGGACGAGACTGCGTCACTCTGACCGTCTGGACACAAGGTCTAACGTGAGAGGCTGGTAAACACAGCCAGTATTCAAAAACTGGCATTATGGCAGAGGCTCCTCCTTTAATACAGGGCTCTGTGGGGGAAAAGGAATTTGGTAATAGGCATTCGGAGCAAAGGATCAATATGAGCTTCAGATAACAAGCGTTACTCTAGTTGGTCTCCCAAGAGCATATGTGAGACTTGCTGGTTTCAAAGAATTAACTAACAGAGCAGCTAGATGTTCTTCTGGAAAAATAACCATTTTTAATCTCAGCCTCCTTTCATCTGCATGTACTTAACACAGGTGGAGGCAGAACACAATTGCGGGCTGTCTAAATAAAAACCACCCGTTCTTGTAACCACCTCCCCCAACATACCTACCAGAAGGAAAGAGAGAAAGTACACTGCCGTGCTGAAAGGCCACATTACACCCCCACCAAGGTTTATAACTGTTCTGTATCTGACCTGGGTTCTTATAGTTCAAGCTTCAAGTCAAATTATACCAACCAGCGCACAGATTTTACAAAAAAAGCTCTGAGTGAGCCTGAACATTTTTAACCCTGTAAAGTAAAATCAGTAAGACACACACAAAGCAGCATTCAGCAGACCCCAGAACTAAACACAATGTTTTTAAATTTTAATCCAACTTCAAACTGAAATTGCTGTCATTTAGCTCCAGGGAAGTGGTTTCCCACCTGGAATATAAATAAGATAGACAGTAGAACACAGCTCCCCCAGACAGCGTAGGGAAGGAGCACACAGATGGCATAAGGAGAGACAAGAGAAAAACGCCCCCATTCTCTTCCAGTCACGATTGCTAGAAATCCTGGCCAATGACCACAGCAGCTGATACAGGAGTTCTCAAACTTTTTAGTCTCAGGATCCCTTTACAACCTTAAATTACTTAAGACCCCAAAGAGCTTTGATTACTGTGGGATTTATTTATTAATATTTAGTATATTAAAATTAAAACTAAGAAAAAGTTTTAAATATTTTAAATTATTAAATATCACATATTATTAAACAGTTTATTAAAAATATTTTTTTAATTAGTGAGAAGAGTGGCCTTGTTTTATATCTTTGTAATTCTCTTTAATGTGTGTCTTAATAGAAACAGCTCATTATCTTCTCTATGTTCAGTCTGCTGCAACATTGCCTGTCACGGAGCCTCTGGAAAACTCCATGGTAGACTTGCAACAGAGTCAGAGTAAAAGAGGCAAACACCATCTTAGCATTATAAAGATAATTTTGACCTCAAGGACTTCCTGAAGGGGCCTCAGGGGCCCCCAGAGGGATCCAGACCACACTTTGGGAACCACTGCTACAGGACAGTGTAAAGATACAACGCGCCTCACCGGCAGGTGTTTGCCAGGCTCACACACAGGATATTCTTCCGTCTGCCTCTCACAGCAATACCCTTCCCCCAGCCCAGCTCTAGTAAAACACTGCTCCAGACTCCTCCAAAAAGGCACTACACTGAAAGCACTTCAAGTGTGCCAGATTTCTTTAAAATTAGAATAAGTAAGGAACCAGCACCGTGGCATAGTGGTTAAGTCCAGCACCCTCTGTTTCAGCAGCCCAGGTTCACAGGTTCAGATCCCAGGCACAGACCCACACCACTCATCAAGCCATGCTCTGGCAGCAACCCACTTATAAAATAGAGGAAGACTGGAACAGCTCAGAGAGAGTCTTCCTCAGCAAAGAAAAAAAAATTAGAGTAAGTAATTTTTATTTCCTCCCCAAACATGACTCATATCCTTTGGGCACAGATTTGTACTGGTTTGGTTTTTTGTTTTTTTTTTTTACCATTATACATGAGTTCTAGTGTTGAATTGACCTAGGTTAAAATACTCACTCTGATGTGGATTAAGGCTGCCCCAGCTAGAGAGGCCCAAGGTGACCTGGCCTACATGCCAAACTATACGACCCAGTGGACTTTTTTTATGGCATGAATTAGGACCGCCCCAGGGAGAGAAGCCCAGGGCATCCTCACCTACATGCCGATCTATATGGCCAGATTCGTATCTAAAGTTATATGACCGCACAATAACCAGACCCCATCTGCACTGAAATCATTTAATGACTTTTTACATCACCTTTTCTTTTCTCCAGTAAAAATAAGTCACGTACCCATGCCTTATAAAATTAGCCCTAACCCTCAACTTGGGACAGCAGCAGGAGCTCTGACTGCCCGTGGGTCTTGTCCCCACACACCAGCTCTGCCTGCCCATGGGTCCTGTCCCCATGCCAGCGGGGGCAGCAGCAGGAGCTCTGACTGCCCGTGGGTCTTGTCCCCACGCACCAGCTCTGCCTGCCCATGGGTCCTGTCCCCATGCCAGCGGGGGCAGCAGAAGCAGCAGCAGCAGGAGCTCTGACTGCCCATGGGTCCTGTCCCCATGCACCAGCTCTGCCTGCCCATGGGTTCTGTCCCCATGCCAGCGGGGGCAGCAGCAGCTGCTCTGCCTGCCCATGGGCCCTGTCCCCATGCCAGTGGGGGCAGCAGAAGCGGCGGCAGCAGAAGCTCTGACTGCCCATGGGTCCTGTCCCCATGCTATTCCACACTATTCTCTAAATAAAAGAGCACTACTGCCAGATCTTGAGAGTCTAAGAAATCTTTCTTTTGACTCCTCGGCTCACCGACCCCGCATCAACTCTACCACTCTCAAGGCTAGGTGACTTGGGCTAATCACCTAATCCTCAGGAGTCTCTGTTTTTTCATTTTGTAAAATGAAGTTACCATATACCCGTACCTCACCAAACTGCTGAGTTTAAGACAGATAATGCATATTAGCAGCAGCTGATAGGAAAAACCCCTTTGAGTTACTAATTCTCCCCTTCCTAAAGAAGGGGAGCTGCCTGGGGCTAAGTGAAACCTCTGGAGTGTTTTACAGATGTCCCCTGCACCGCCCCCACCTGCAACAGACTGCACAACGTTCTATGATTTTTATTCAGTGTACTGTGGGGACCTGAAATTGGCCACCCCAAGATATGTCTCTTTGGCATCAGGATTATTTGAGGCTGATTGCTTTTGATAAACTGGGACAGGGAAGGAGGCTCTGAGGAATGGAACTTGCCCTTTGTTAGGACACATTTACATTTGTAAGGTAAATCTCTATCTGTCAAAGGTGACTCCCTCTCTGTACCAGGAAGAAGAAAGGAGATGACCTTCTCTCTAGAAATTCTTAATCAATGCCAAAGGCAAGGACTTAAATCTGCATTTTATTGTGCTTGTCTGGTAACCTCCTGTAACTGACTTCCCTCCCCCTCCCAACTTTGGCATTTCTTTAAGGATTAAGCATCTTTCCTTAGGCTAGGAACTGATTGCTGAGCTCACCTGTGGCCGCCCAGCTCAAGACAATAGACTTGCCTCCTGCTACACCCACTGATAGCAGACCCACTATGTGCTGTGTCCATCAAGCGCTGTGCTGCAGGGCAATCTTGTGACTATTGTGGGAGGGATATTTCAATCATGTGAAATATCCTGTTTGGGGGTATATAACAACTCTGTGCACCCCACTTCTTCGGTGCCCTTTCTTCCTTCGAGAAGAAAGGCCCCGGGCCATGGTCCTCATAAAGCTTTGTTTAATTTTGTCTTGCTACTCTGTCTCATGTGAATTTAATTCGTTCTCCGGCCAGACGAACCCACATTTGGATGGAGGAAATATCTTCCTCCCCTACAGTACCCAAACACATTACCCTTTCTACAGCATTCCTTTAGGAGTTAGGGGGTTTCTT